AATTTTGACCTACGACCCCTTACAAAAAACTATTTAAATTTTCTAAAAGTTAAAATCAAAGGCGATTTTATAAATAAAAGTGGACTAAACAAGTTTGAAGAAATTTACGAAAACCGTAGTGCTGTTTATAGATTCCCGTACGGAAATCTATAAACAAAACGGTTTTCGTATTGTTCATCTTTTACGGGATGGCAACATTGCACAGCAGTGTCGCCAATAAGAGAATTTATCTTCTACGCTATTTTGAGTAGTTTAACCACTTTTATATATAGCCTGTATAATAAAGGTATGTATACAATATAATATATCATACATATTTAGGTTAGGCTATTGAAATAATTTTGATATGTATATTATAGTTTTCCACTTTATTTAATTATTTTCTGCTGAGATTAATTAATTTATTCGGTACACTCGTGTTAAATAAACAATTAGGAAGTTGTTTGAAATTTAATCAAAATTTACTAAGCAAACTGCTATTAGATTCAAATTTTCCAATCGATTTCTAAAGTTAAGCGAGTTAAACAATGTTTACTAGACTCGCTGCAAAAACATTAATGTACAAGATGTGTAAGATATAAGTTTAAAAAAATGTCCCCCGATGGTGTTACCCCGTGATATTTAATAAAACTAAATGAGTTTGATCTACACTTTTATTGTGTTTTGATCTTTCATAATTAAGTAGTTATTACACCTCAGGTTCCATATTTTTAACCGCAATTAATTATTTTTTACAATGTTTTAAAAGTCTAAAACCTATCCTCCGTGACTGCTACTTTTTCTAGGTTAACCTATATGTTTTCAAATATCTGAGGTAGCAAAAGCATACTAAAAATATCAGTTCACTAAGTAAATTAAACACATACGAAGCAATCGAATCAAATATAAAATATTATTAAAAATTAAAAGAAATAATTTTTATAACACATTATGTAGGTGTTACAAAAATTGATTATATTCTCCGTGAATCTGTTTTTGCTTTAAATTTTATGCAACGGATGGCGCTTTAATAATTTTAAATAAGCAAAAACCTCTGTTTAGTTAGAATTTATATGCAGATGAGAGTGTTGCTGTTTTATAATTCAAAAGTTTAAGTTCATTAATTTGCTATTTAAAAACCTATCCACCGTGAAGTGTAATATCTCAGTAGGTAGATTAAAAATTTGGTCCTAAAACTATATAAACAAAATGAGGTCAAAAGTTGCCCAGCTTTTGTAGAATCACCCATATATATCTGGAACCTAAAAATATATTTATATGGATGCTTATAATAATGAAAAAACTAAAAGAGTTAAAAAATTAATTATTTACATACAAATAAAAACGTTTTTATTCCCAAGCAAGAAAAACACAATAAACAAAAATAAAATAAACTTCACCAATAGGGTAGGTATACAAATCTCCTGTTGATGCTTATTTGCAAATCCTCAACGAAACACATACATACACGTGTTTTGTCCTGCCCAAAAGGATTCCGCCGGACGCAAAGGATTTGTACCGGAGGATTAAGGGTGTATTGGCAAAGGATCACCGAGGCATTATTACTGCAGAACACTACTTCCTTTAGTGAACCAAATCCTGCAATAGAATGCTTTTGAAATTGGATTTTTAAATGTGGTCCAAAGAAATTTTTGTGCTTAGTTTTAATTTATTTTTGGATTTTAATTTTAGTATAAGCAGTTATCCTCATAGCATAACAATTAGAAAACAGTTAGAAAAATGTATAAAAGTATATTGGAAAATTTATTTAGGGTAAACCATATAGTTATTGGACATTTAAAAATAAGAATATTTGAGTTTTTAATAATAGTTTTATAAAAACATGCAAAAAAGTATAGGAATTGGACATTTTATATAGTAATTGGACACATGGACTATAGTTATTGGACATACAATTTTTATATAAACATAACAACTTTACATCAAATAACATAAATTGTTAAATATTTTTCAAAGATAAATTGCTGTTTTAGGTAATTTTCGTTTTTGTAAATATCATATAAATCATAAATTTCTTTCTCGGATTCCTCATCCCTTTTCTGGATTCTGAAGGTAACTACTAATTCCTTGGTCTGACTTCTGAAATATCATTTAGTATATTTCTAGTTTGTGAAGCATTTATAATGTTTAGGCCGAAAAAGGATAATTTATATATATCTAATATTTTTTCTGGTGGTATGTTAAAACTATTTTCTGAATTTATTAATTTTCTTGTCATTAGTTTTTATGTTCTCTATCATGCACTGTATTTAAATCACTTTTATTCTGCAAGAAGAAATCACTATATTACTTACTCTCTAAAAATGAATTAGTCAAAAATGTCAGCAGCCACTAATAATTCTCGTTAACAGTAATTTGTATCCAGGACATTTAGCAGTCAATTCCTATGATATATTATTCGCTGAATCCGAAAATATCGTCAAAAGTTATAAAACTAGAACAGTTGAGACTGAGATAGTTATAATTGTATAAATCGTCATCTAATGATTTGTCTTTAAGGTAACTATTTATAGAACTACTGTTTTTACAGTGTTAATGTTAATTGTCCAATAACTAAAAAGTGTCCGATAACTGTCTACTTTACCCTATAATAATAAATTCATATAAAAAATATTGAAAATTTACTATACAGGGTGTTCTGATAACATACCGACAAACTTTCATTAACTTAAGGCTCAAGTCTTGTTGGGATCTTCTGCTCTAGCTATTTTAAACAAATTTATTCAACTCAAATATGGAAAAAAGTTTTTCTAACTCTCCTTTAAGTTAGTTGACCGCTAAACTCTTTGAATTGTCGGTTTCTTGAGAGAGATTTTCCACTTTCAACTGAAGGGACAGGAAAGAGTTTTCCTAAAGAAAACGACCCTGCATTATTCAAAATCATTCCGGATAAATCGGTTAACTCGATGCTTCGTTGGGCAATGTTCTAAATGTAAACGATGACAAACGTTTATTCGACGTTTATTCGACAAATCCAACCGTTCTATTTGATAAAATAATGCAATATGTTTAAGTTATGTATAGCCTATACAGTATTTTAAAACATACCAAAGGCCAAAGAAAAATCATTTTATTAAAAAATATGAGCCTTACATCCTCTTAAATAAATGAAGAACGTTGTTAAACATTTTTTCGTAAAATGCATACTAACCTTTAAGGATTAATTATATTGATTCTTAAGGTTATTTAATCTGCTGTAAGTAGGTATACCTATTTGAAGTGCAAATAAGTTTGTTACATAATCATCATTTGGTTTTATTTAAAGTTTTATTGCATAGTTTTAAATCGACCTTGGAGATCGCAATAAGAGTATTAGTGTTACTTTGGCTATATTCAGTTTCACAAGAAATCCTATAAACGAGATCTTAATGGTCGATGTTTGATTTTTCCTAAGCTCATTTAGGGATTCCACTTAAACTACTAAAAAGTCCAAACCCGTCGTGCGTATTTCTCCTTAATGGTTCGTAGATTTCGCCATGCGTTTCGTCTGCTTTTTTAAAGAGGACTAAAGCTGCAGATGGCTGAAATAAGAAATACCATTTGCGTTATCTGCCATCGCTGATGAAATGGAAATCGAATTAACAGCGTTTTCTGCCAACTTAAATTGCAAAATTACCTTAGAAGGCAAGGTTTAATCCAAAATAGGTTTTAATCGAGAATGGGGTCGAACGCAGAATTGCCCACACATGTGACACTGTACTAACATATGGGTGAATATATTGAGAGTAAAAATGATTATTTTTTATTTTAAGAAATCATTCATTTTGAATATTAGAGCTTCCCGGTGGATAGGATTTCGTATGTTTTTTTTAAACATCGCTTTGTATATTTGAAATAAGTTATTGTATCTTTTGACACCTTAATATTTTTTAAAAATACAATTGTTCATACATAAAATATTTATAAAAAAAATCTACTTACTGAGATATTACACTTCACGGTGGATAGGTTTTTAAATAGCAAATTAATAAACTTAAACTTTTGAATTATAAAACAGCAACACTCTCATCTGCATATAAATTCTAAGTGACCTTCAGGAATCACATGCATCTATAATGTCGTAAACAGAGGTTTTTGCTTATTTAAAATGATTAAAGCGCCATCCGTTGCATAAAAATTTAAAGCAGAAACAGATTCACGGAGGATAGAATCAATTTTTGTAACACCTATATAAATGGTTATAAAAATTATTTCCTATTTTTATTAATATTTTATATTTGATTCGATTTCTTTGGACGTGTTTAATTAATGAACTGATATTTTTAGTATCCTTTTACTACCTCAGATATTTGAAAACATATAGGTTAACCTAGAAAGAGTAACAGTCACGGAGGATAGGTTTTAGACTTTTAAAACATTGTAAAAAATAATTAATAATAATAATTAATAAGATTCACCCATATTATTCAAATTTAAATTTTTGGATTCAAACGATTCACATTTTGGAAAAATTCGGCAATTTTGAATATTTTAGTAAATTTGATAAATTTTACACATTTTTAAAATTCTTATTTTTGTATGTTTTACAAAATATGGAAATTTTGCAATTGTTGGCAAATTCGTTGCATCATTTTTTTAATGTGCAAGTTAAAAACACTCTCCTGATATTTAAAACTGTTTAAAACCTATTTAAAGCATAGCTTCAAATACGCAATGATGTAAACTAATGTTGTATAGAGAGGATAAATACTTATTTTCTCTGATCAAAGTAAACTGGAAAACAAAGTAGAAACAAATTTATGAGAACCTGTTTTATTGCATATTTTAAACCCCGTTTTAAGTTGCTTATTCGTCGATCCTTCAAATAAAATTACACGAGATCGGATCTCCATAAAACCAGAGAAATAAATCCTGCAAACCAATATAACTCTCGATGGAAAACAAGAAAAAGTATATCTTCATCTTGGAATCTTATAAAATACCGGCAAAACACTGTTTCCGCGTTTCATGGACCTTTTAAATAAAACTTTGTAGAAGATAACTTTTTTTTGATTTTGCAGGAACCCGCCTGGAAATCCCACGTCTGGAAAAAAGGCAGGGAGTCTGGAAAGAGCAAAAAACCAAGACGGAAGTTCCATTTTAAACAGATCGCGCGGTAAGTAGCTATTTACACAAGATTTTTTGAAGTCTTCTAAAATGTATAAGTTGGATATTTTCAAAATTAAATGAAAAACAATCGAATAGACAATGTGGAATCGATTTCCTATCAGGACTCTCATGGAATCTAATTTACAAAAGGATCTTATCTAACGTATCCAGATTCCGATGTCTGTTTATGTAGCATTAAACGAGCGCGTGCAATTTTACATATCGGGAAAAACGTCAAATAAAATTAGAAATTGCGCGCTTCGTATGAATTTTATTTTAGTCTGTGTTTAATATTTCGAAATGCGAAGTTTTTAGTGGCTCGATGTGGCAAGGAGATAGTAAATTTTTATATCAACTACATTTTAAAGGTTTATCTAAGCTTTTGATGCCGTTTATTCCAAAGCAACTGTTTAATAATGAATGAAAATTTTATTCTCTAAAAATGAATTAGTCAAAAATAACTACGTATTACTAGGGTACATAGTTATTGGACACTTAACTTAAGTACTTAAGTGACTTAAGGAATATTATTTATTTAAAATTTATATATGCCGTTGTTTTAAAGATTTTAGTTTTTTTTCTTATAAATATATATGAAAAGGATAGTTTCTTTGTTTAAACTTTATTTACGTTTGCTTAAAAATAATATTTGTTTTATAAGAATATTTGAATTTTTAATAATAGTTTAAAAACATGAAAAAAAAGTGTACTCTCTAAAAGTGAAACAGTGAAATTTTCACTATTTCCGTCAGTGAGTTATTATTCACTGTAAAATTAGTGTTTTTCAATATAAATTAGTGAAATTTTAACTTCTCAAAATTAGTGTTTTTTATTATCACTACTTTTCCGGAACTCTCGACATAAAATAGTAAAATTTTAACTTTTTTGAACTAAACCTATTTCACTAATTTGTACAGTGTAATTTCCACTAAATAAATTAGTGCAAAGAAATCGCTACATGAAAAAGTGAGTATTCACTAATTGCTAGTGGTATACTTATCACTGCGGCAAATAGTTAATATGCACTGTCAATCAGTGAAAATCCACTGTTTCATTTTTAGAGAGTAGTAATTCATGTAATTTCATTTCTGAAGGTTACTACTAATTCTTTTAAAATAGTTTGTTGCAAATCTCATTACGTGTGGTATCTCTAGTTTGTGAAGCATTTATAATGTTTAGGCTGGAACAGGATGATTTATATCTAATATTTTTTCGGGTGGTATATTAAAAGTGTTTTTCGAATTTATAAATTTTGTTGCATGCACTGTATTTAAATCACTACATTACTTACTCTCTAAAAATGAATTAGTCAAAAATTTCATAGCGAAAAAACAGCCACTAATAATTCTCATCAACAGCAATTTGTATCCAGAACATTTAGCAGTCAATTCCTATGAAATATTATTCGCTGAATCTGAAAATGTCGTCAAAAGTTATAAAAGTAGAACAGTTTTTGAAATATAATCAATTTAACATAAAATATGGAATTGACTATATCTCAAAAACTGCTTAACTTTTATAGTTTTTGACGTTCTTTTCGGATTCAGGGGACAATTTTACATAAGAATTGGCTGGTAAATGTCCGGGATACAAATAGAGTATGATATTGGACATAATATATATTATATCCAATAATAGAAATTTACATTTTTTACCAACCAGTAATTAGACACTGGCCATTTTACTGTTTGTTTTCAGAATTAAACTTAAAACGCATAAAAGTGACAATGTTTAAACCATGAGGAACACATTTACACCACACACTGATCTGTACACTTTTTAGAAATATTTTTTATTGTAATTTAAACCCAGATAGTTATAATTGTATACAGCGGCATCTAATGATTTGACTTTAAGGTAACTATTCATAGTATTTTACAGTATTAATGTTAATTGTCCAATAACTATTGTGTCCGATAACTGTCTACTTTACCCTACGTATATTTACTACAGTTATTAGTGGCTGCTTTTTTACTTATATCATGGTTAACCAAGGGATACCATTGTATCCCCAACATTTAACAGTCAATTTTTATGTAATGAAAGTAGAGCAGTTTTTGAGATATAGTCAATGTCATATTATATGGAAAATTGACTATATCTTAAAAACTGTTCTACTTTTCTAACTTTTGACGACATTTTCGGATTCAGGGGACATTTTTTCATGGAAATTGAATGCTGAATGTTTGGGAAACAAATTGCTATTGACGAGCTTTTTCGCTATAACAATTAATCATTCTGTATAATATTATTTATACTTAATAATTCCTGCAAAATTAAATGGGATGCACACTAAAAATCATAAAAAAATTATATTCATTAAATTTAAACCCAAAATATTATAAAACAAATCCAATGTCATGCCATAGTTGCCTAATGCACGTAACTATTTAAATTTTACTCTTTCGCAGTGCTGTCAAATTTACCTCCAAACTGTTCGGTAGAGCGTTATCCAGGAGGATAAAGGCAACGGTGCTCTACGCGACAGAAACTGGAAAATCTGAGGGTTATGCCAAAAAGTTGGGTGAAATTTTCGGGCATGCTTTTAACGCACAAGTTTATTGTATGTCCGATTATGACATTTCCAGTATTGAACATGAAGCTCTTTTGATAGTTGTGACCTCTACGTTTGGTAATGGAGATCCACCGGAGAATGGTGAAGTAAGCAAATTTTTTTGTTGTAATATTAATTTAAGGAGGTGCGGGCAGTGACATTTCTTTATGCAGTGTTATTTAAAATCCTAAAATGTGTTGTGTTTTTTTTAATTATTTCCGAAACAGTTTTAGATAAAATAATAAAATTTGTAGGCTCAATTTAAAAATTATTATTTTTTAATTATGAGATTATTAAACAGGGACGGCCTAGAGTTTTTGGCAGCAATTTTTTTTGCAAGTTGGCTGCAGAATTGTCTACGTAATAAAGGTAAATGCACCGTTTTCGAATTAAAATAAAATAATTTTTTTTGGAAAATTACAATTGTCTTACAATAAGTTGTAATTTTACAATCTATATGTATAAATCCTAGACGCATTGTAATTTTACTAAAAAATTTGACAGTTTCTAATAAAAAGCATCTCAGATTTACAAACGTTGTTTGTAATTTGATTTGCTATAATGTTATGTAAAATGCCGATTGCGGCAATCACGTGATGTTCCTACATCTCGCCTCGGTTTACTTAGGTGGACAGTATATAAGCTCAGGTGTCTTTCGTTTTTGGTGTGTTCCAATGCTCCAAATTGCCCGACATTAATAAGACCCAAAATAGGCCTATCTGTCTAGCTGTCTGTCGGTATTTGAAGTTGGTGAAACGCACTTAACAAAAACTCTGGCGAGGTGAAGGTTTATTTTTTTTTTAATCTTTACAGTAATGGGTCAAGAAACTAAGAAAATGCAGTATAATTACAATACCATCATTCGTAAATTACTAAATATTTTTAGTGTAATTTGTTGTACAAAATAACAATATTTGTATTGTAATATTGCGAAACGAATTTTCTTCAGTTCAGTAAAATTGTAAAATATATTTTCTAATTTCCCTAAACTGAGTTGAAATGAATTGTATAGTATAATTACAATACACCATATTAAAAGTACTAAACATTTTTAATATTTTATTTTAGCAAAATTACAATTTCTGTATAGTAATGTTACTGGACAAATTTTTAATAAATGCTTAGTGAATTTCAACAAACGTTTTGTAATTTTCCCAAATTGAGTTGTAAATTACAACTCAATTTGGGAAAATTTTACAACTTGTAATGAATCGTGTAGTGAATTTACAAAACTGAGTTTTATTATTACTATATTACAATAAAAAAATTTTAATAGTGGAGGAATAAAAATTAAAAAACACACATATTTTATACCTATTCTTATAAAACGAATTAACTTTTTAATTCAGTCTACATAAAAAAATTGATGATAATTAACTTTTAAAGTGCATTCTTTTCGTAGTTACATTAAAGCTTTTATTAACATTAACATTATAATGAAATTTCTAGCTGAAATTAAAACTAATGAAAGTTTAGCCAAATTAAGTTATGAATTATTTTTATAGGAATTCGCGAAAAATCTCTACACGCTTAAAATGAACGAAAACGGCATATCTAATGGAGATCCAGGAAAATTAAGGTAACAAGTTTTTTATTAACTTATATTAAATAAATATTATATTTTAGGATTTTTACTTAACACTAAAAAAATAACTACAAATTTACTACTAAGTCAACTTTAAAGTATTTTTTACGGTTAACCAAAACGGTTTTAAAACGGTTTAGATACGAAAAATTACCAAATTTGGGGAATGGTTTATTTCGTTATTTTACCTACATAATAACCTTTTTGATCTACTAAGAGAATAACGTAATATACATACCGCAAATTTACGTAAAAATAACGTTATAACTACTAACTGTTTGCTCTACTTTCTAAAATATTGGCATTTGTAATTTATTTTTTTAATAACTAAAACTTTCCTTATTATATTTTAGAAAAATATTTATGAAAAAATTATATATAAATTGCCATCTTAAAAAACTCATTATGGCGACTTGAAAAAAATTTTATTTTTCACTTTAAGCTTATTTTTCTTTGTTTAGTCAATATTAATAGTGTTTATTACCACTAATAACCCTAAAAATACCAGGCGAATAGGCATTATTTACGGTTATAAAGTGGTCTTAATATCGTAAAATTATGACTTATGAGTAACATTTACCATTAAGTAAAAATTCTGACGTTAAAATTACCGTTAAATTTTCCTTTAGGTGAAATACACTTACAAGTAATTTTCTTTCGTAAAAATTACGTCCCTCCTAATACTTTGAAGTGTTGAAACTTAAGGGTTATTAAAATAGGTAAAAATAACATTTTTACTTCAAAGTAAATTTTAGGGTTAATTTAACAAAATATTTACTTAAATTAAGTAATATTGCCTTAAAGCTCTACGCTTTTACTTAAAATGCTGCTTAAAACAAAATTGTATTTCAATTATTTCCGTTTAGGGTTTTTTGGGTATGCCAAATTCTGAAACGATTTCTGTTTAAAATAAATGGAATATTACAAAAAAAGTTTCACAGAGAGTCGGAAAATCACTTTTCAAAGCAGCACCTGAATGTAGGTTAAACAAAATATATTTTAATTCCATTTATTTTATAATTTATATCCGGGATTTTCCAAATAGATGTTTTAAATTTGTTTTTGGTTGAAATAACTATAAATGGAATAAAAATTGAAAACAGTTTTTTGATGGATTTTAAAAACAACGAGGTAGATTTTAATCTCCTAATATATTTCCTAAATTTCCTAAACAATTTTCGAAAAATTCATAATCAATCGCGAATCGAATTTTTTTTCCAAAAAAACAAATAGAGAATTTTCCTTTAAACGGAAGTCAGTGGCGGCTCGTGGGTGTATAGGAGGGTGAGGCTACATAAGGTTAATTTTAATTTTAATTTAAACCATAATAAATAAAAAAACAAAGAAAATATCAAAGCAAACTTAACCCAAATTGCGAAACAAAAAAACATAAATTTGTTTTTTAAAACTGCAAAACAAACTGCCATCCACCACATCTTCAGTCATGTGATTAAAACCACCAATAAGAGCAAGCCAAAGCTCCAATTCTCTTGCCTCAAGCTTCCATTTATTCGTCTACATTAATGTTGTTGCCTTTAAAATAGTCCCCATTGGATATTATGCACATGTGCCAGCTCTTCTTCCAATACTCGAAACACTTCTAAAACTCGATCTTTGAGATAGCCTTTAGTTTTTTCAGCGATGTGCTTTTAATGTCATCTATGCTTGCAAAACGACGGCCCTTTAAGGTTCTCTTTATTTTTGGGAATAGGAAAAAGTCAGACAGAGGCATGTCTGGCGAATATGGAGGCTGGGGCATCATAACAGTATCGTTTTTGGCCAAAAATTTTGTTCAAAATTTAACAATTTTAGAAGAAATTTTGCTGCCACGCGTTTCATGCCCAAAACATTCTGAAAAATTTCATGGGATGAGCCAATCGATATACCATTATCATCAGCGACTTCTCTGATGGTTTATAACCATTTCTTCCACTTTTTCCATGTTTTTATTGGTTGTTGTGCGTTCGGGGCGTTCGTCATCTTCAACGTCTTCACGGCCATCTTGGAAACTCTTGTTTTACTTATAGCAGACTCACTATAGGCCTTTGTTAACATTTCACAGAATTTGTTTCATTTTCTAAGCAAAATTGGATACAAATTCTTTGATCCATTTCTTTTAACGAACGAAAAATCGCCGAGCTCATAAAACACGTCTAACCTTAGCGGCTGCCACAGACAAAGTAAACAATGAAAACAGCTAAAGTTTTTATCATACTTCGGGGGCATGTATACCAACATAATAAAGAAAATTTTATGACAACTCGACCCTCCGAACCCGCGAAATTTAATATTTCCCGTTATTTTCTGAACACACCTCGTATATATCGGTTTGAGCGTGGATTTTAATTTACCATTTACATACCCTGGCGGTCCGCCACTGACTCAAGTCCAATCTTGTCTGGTTTAACATTAATTGAGAAAATGAATACGTGTAGGTAAGGAAGAAAATACGGTCCGCTGCGCTTTTGTAAAATACAACTGGGGACAGATAAAGGATATTATAACGAAACACAGGTGTATACATATATATACCTTTTGTTCCCAGTATGGAGATAAAGCAATAAAGCCCTTAACGTGGCACAAAACAACTCTCTAAATGTGTTATGTTAATGCAGGGAAAGATTTTGCGAAAAATTATTTTGTTCGTTTGAATAATAAAATATTTTTAAACAGAAACATCTGCAGATGTTTTTGCTTTGGTTCCAGTTGGTTTATTAACTTAATCTACCTTTGTTTTGCTGCATTGCCAAATCGTTTAGCATGACGATGGCGACTTCGAAATCCTTCATAAAAGCGAACAGTCAAAGTGAAATTGCAACTGTTAAACGGCTGGATAGACTGGATTCTTTAAGAGGTTCTGTCAGCGAACCTTTATTGGAGGACACATTTGGGCCTTTAAGTAACGTACGGTAAGTCTAAAATTGTCATAAATTTACATGAACAATTTATATTTTGCCATTTAACCACCCTAACATTCTTTTTTCCAACTCCAAATGTTTCCACTTTAGATTTGCCGTTTTTGGCCTGGGATCCAGCGCCTACCCAAACTTCTGCGCTTTCGGGAAATACGTCGACAACCTTTTGGGAGAATTGGGTGGCGAAAGACTAATAAAACTGGCAACAGGGGACGAAATGTGCGGACAAGAGCAAGCCTTCAGAAAATGGGCACCACAGATCTTCAAAGTAAAAAGCAAACAATCTGCCAGTTCGTTCAATAAGTCCGTGCCCTAACAAAAAAAAGATTTATTCATTCATCATTCTCATTTGAGTAACTTTTTTAGTGTCTTGGTGAAACAGGATGTTGTTCTTTTGTCCCCATAATGACTTTCAAGCCACCACGCTTTTTTCTCATCATCAGAAGTCGAGAAATTAATGATACCAAATCATGTAGAAAATTTTGCACCATCGGTTATCAGGTCATTGACTTATTGAACCAACTAGCATTTACATCCATTTTGGATTTTTTTTAAATATTTTTTATAGGTAGCTTGTGAGACGTTTTGTTTGGATGATGACGATACGTTTTTGGAAGCCACAATCACACTACAAAGTCAATCGATTACAGAACAAACTGTAAGACTTGTGGAGTGTAAAGCTGATGCTCTTACAGCTGGATTAGAGAAATGCCATAACAAAAAAGTAAGCTGACATTTATATCTTTTCTACACTGTTTAAAATATCTGTGGTGTGAAGAGTAATCTTAAAATGGTGTCAAAATCCAACACCAAGTGGTGTTAATATAACACCATGAATCATGGTTGAAAACGTTTTATACAGCAAACACCAAAACGGTGTTGATCTAAAAATGTTTGAGAAGTGCACCTACACAGAAAAAAAAGGAATAGTTCATTTAACTATATTAATTTAGTTGACCCATAAGTATTTATTTAAATCAACTGTGGGAAGGTTAATATAAACAAAGATTAGTTTGACGGTACTAAACCAGATAGTTATTTTATTTTTTTTAAATTGGTTAAATTAACCCAGAAAACTTTAGTGAAACCAACCCGCTGTATGGTTCAGTTTACTAAATATGTTGTTTGTAAAATAAGAGTTACTTCAACCTAAAGCACTCTGTTAAAACGATTAAAACAATTTGACGTGCATTCCTTGTTGCATAGTGTGTACCGATCGCGGCAAAGGCGGTGTGGATCACGTGATGTTGTTAAATCTCGCCTCTGTTGACTTACATGAAGAGTATATAAGCTCAGGTAGTCCTTTGCTTTGGTGTGACACTACAAGTTGTTCGATACTAAAGAGCCTTAAATAGGTGGAAACAGCTGTCAATATTTGAAGTATTTTGGAACACACTAAAAACATTATCTCTAGCGAATTGAAGGTTCAATTTTCTGGAATAATACCACTGGTTATATACTTGTAATGCGTCAAGGAACTTCCTGTTTCCTTTTTTTTCCTTTTTTTCTGTGTAGTATGATTTAATTTGACCAAAAACACATTATATTTAACACTGAAAAGGAGTTTAATTTACACCAGGTAAAATTTATTTTAATACTGTGTGAAAGTTAAATTTACACCATTTTAGTATTTGAATTTTCACTGGACCAACGAACCATATTTAACTCCATTTTGGTTTGTATCGATATAGACCAAGTATGGTGTTAATTTGGTGTTAAAATGGTCATGAAATTTTGAAGAGTGTAAAGGCTCCATTTCATAGCAAAACCAACGATTGATATATTTTCTTCAGGTTGCACCATCGCGACTTCTAAAACGTACAAACCTCCATGGGGAGAAATCCTCCAAAGCTACCCTCTTGCTGGAATTCGAAAGTAATATGAAGTACAACCCTGGCGATCACGTAGGCGTATTCTGCATGAACAAACCAGAGTTGGTGGAAAAAATCTTGAGAAGACTCAAAGGAGTGCCCAATCTGGAAACTCCAGTGGAGTTGCAAATCTTGAACGAAAGCCATACGTCGAATGGTATGAAGTTTAATTGCTTGAGCGATTCTACCATGGTAGATTTATTTTCTTTTTAGGTGTTGTGAAAACCTGGACGCCTCACGAAAGGTTGCCATCCTGTTCGGTTAGAGAATTATTGGGGAGATACTTGGATATAACTACACCACCTTCTCATAATTTACTCCAGCAATTCGCTGATATCGCGACTGATGAACAGGATCAGAAAAAATTAAATCTTCTGGCAACAGTAAGTGATTTATTTATATCAACTGATTTACGCATATCCACTGATTTAAGTTTGAACCAATTTGGCAACATAGCAAATTTTAAATGACAGTAAAGATTTGTAGGTTATCTTACTTGGTTCAGTTAAAGTGCTTTTTATTTCTAAATCACTTTTTTTAAGTGAAAAAATGTTTCTGGTAATTACTGGGTGATTCCATATAAGTTTGGTTGGGGGTATACTATAATAGTAGTGCTTCACTAAAACTAAACTATTTTATGTATTTTCACAAAAAAATATATGTAAAATGTGTTTGTTTATATATATGGGGCATTCCACGCCAAATATGATGGTTTCAAATTTTTTTTTTTTGATTCCTCCAATTTTTTTGATCAAAAGGTATAAAATTTTCAAAAAAAACTGCTTTTTTTTGTTTTTTGCTCATAACTTCTTAAAAAATTCCGGTAGTGCCTTTCATAATTACTATTTTTTTTCGAAACTTATAATAATTTTTAGAGAATTTTTTTTTTATTTTGAAAATTTGAAAAAAAATAATAATTATGGATGACCCACTACCGGACCAGGCTGAATAGATAGAAGTTGAAAATAAAACATCGAAGAAGACACATTTTTAAAAACACGATATAAACTTTAAAACTCAAAAATCTTGACTTAAAAGGCTTCAAATATTTTTAATATATTTTTTTTCGAAAAGTACATTTAAAAAGGAAAATTTTACATAGAATGAACATTTTGATTTGGACCATTTTTTAAGAAGTTATGAGCGAAAAACAAAAAAAAGAAAATTTCATCTTTTGAACCCGTAATCAAAAAAATCTCAAAATTTACTGCTAAGTAAGCTCTTTCAAGGAGTACTAAAAAATATCAAAAAAAAATGGAGGAATCAAAAAAAATAATTTTTTAATCCATCCGATTAGGCGTGGAATGCCCAATATTTATATATATGTATATAGGAAACAATTACTCTAAAAACCGAATACCTATTACCCACTGAGTTGAGAATTTAATTAATTTTTCAACATTTATTCGATTTTAATTAAAACAGTTTAATTTAAACGTTTTTGATAAAACTTGCTGTTTACGAATGAATAAAAATAGCGATGTGTGTTGTTTTATACGTAGGTAAGTGATTGGTGGAATTAAGCGAAGTAAATTAAAAAAAAACAAATTGATTGGGAGATACAATTTTAAAAACATTCCACGCTAATAAAACAAATGGCTTTTAAAAGAAATTTCATTACGTAATATAAGCATGAGAACAAAATGCACAATTTGTATGTTTGGATTAATGGAATTCAAAACATTACTGTCGAACTAGAAACGTTGAATTATTTATATCAACTGATTTGGCCTATCAGTGGATATAGGTTTTTGCACGACATTGCAACACAGTATTTTTCTTTAAAAACTGTTGTTTTATAAAATAAATTGCGTAATTATCTTTCAACTTTTATATTTTCCCTAAAGAAGTCGATTTCTATACATTTCTATACAGTCGTTAACGGCTGATTTAAAATATGAATAAAAATAGACACATTGCAAACTGCGAACATAACCCAATTGTTGTGTTTTATATTGCCGCAATCCTCTTAAAAACCAAGTTTTAGTCAATAAGGTTTAGTCAGTTATAATAGTTATTTATGTATTAAGGGCATAATAAGGTTTTTATGGTCCGAGGCGCTATTTCGAGCCCGAGCGCGTTAGCGCGAGGGCTAGAAAAGCGTCGTAGGACCATAAAAACCAGTTATGCCAGCAATGCATACAAAACTTTATGCACGATTAATATATTATTATTTTTAATATATTATTGTTTTTAAAGACGTTTACGTCAAAGAATTTTTGTTATATTTGTCATATTATAATGTCAACTGACATCAGTCAGTTTTAAAGTTTAAAGATGAATGAAATTGAGGAAGCAGCTGAAAAGGCGAATAATTGCGGCCTGCTGCCGGAAAAATCAAAATCTTTATACGAAAAAACTTACTTCGAATATATCAAATGGTGTAACATTGATGTTTTTAATTTTTGACGTTTCATTATAGCCCGCTGGGTCATAATAACGCCCGCGGGCTATAAAAAGACGTTTACGTCAAAGAATTTTTGATATAATTGTCATATTATAATGTCATCGTGCATAAATGTATTTATGTGTATATTTAATAATATATTTTGAAAATGTATCACTCTTGTAATGTAATAAACAAATATTTAAGTATATGTAAGATAACCTACAAATCTTTACTGTGCTTTACTGTGATTTAAAATTTGCTATGTTGCCAAATTCTCAAACTTAAATCAGTGGATATAAATAAATCAACGTTTCTACATACACACGGAGAGAAAAGTATAATGCTGATTACCATAATTATAATACCCTTTATTATAATTTATATTACTATTTGGGACAACAATCTTGTATATTGCCAGATACTATGCATATTTAGTAATTTTTAAATATCCATCTAGGTATGTTAAACCTTAAGGTAAAATATTATTATTCTCAACCAATTTTGTTTTTAATTCTTATTATAATTAGATTTTTTCCATTATTAATAAGTATAGTAAATTTTAAAATATTATGTTGCCATTTTAAATATAAAATATTTTAAAATCGAATATTTTTATGTTAAAAATTAAAAATTGTAACATATTTATTGTAGTTTTTAATATACAAAAATGTTATGAGAAAGAATTGAACCTACACCTCGCCAAAGTTTTTTGTTTTGAGTGCGTTCCATCAACTTCAAATACCGACAGACAGGTGTTTTGACCTATATTGAGTATCATCAGTGTCGACACGACACTGTCGAGCAACTTGTAGTAGTGGAACACACCCAAAACAAAACATACCTGAGCTTATATAACATGGTTGGTAAGCCAACAGAGGCGAGATGTAAGAACATCACGTGATCCACACCGTCTAACGACGCGTCGCGACGTGGCCTTTTCCGCAATCCGTACATACTATGCAACCAAGTAGGTTCAATTCTTTCTTATAAGTATTACCAGTAATGGGTCAAGAAAGTTTATTGAAGAAACTAAGAAAATTGAATGTTTAAAATGTAATGAGAGACTATATTTAAATATATTGTTTATTTACTTACCTTAAACATAAAAGTATCTTTATTTTTACTATATTTTTTTATTAATGTGTAATATATTATAATATTAGATGTACAACTTACATTTGATTAAATCATATAGTATATATTACTATTTGTAGATAGTAAAATCAATTTACTATACGAACATATTAAAATTTAAAATATATATTATACATTTATGATTTAGTAATATTGGTGTTGTAATCTTTACTAAAATTGTATAATAAAAAATAGTATTTTGTATTACAATCTTAATATTGTATTAACGAATATATAATATTCTTACCCTAAAAATTTGTTGAAGTAAATTTTACTATATTTTTTTATTATCTAAAATTTACTATACATTTATCTCCGTGCAGCCCTTAGTTTGGCATATAAATGCTAAACAATTTGTTTCAGGACTCTGCCGCATATGAGGATTGGCGCCACTGGCGGTTTCCAAATTTAGCTGAAGTTTTAGAGGAATTCCCATCGGTGCAGCCGTACGCTCCTCTACTTTTAGCCCAGCTGAGCATCCTGCAGCCCAGGTTCTATTCGATTTCGTCTAGCCCAGCTATGCATCCAAACCAACTGCATCTGACTGTGGCCGTGGTAGTTTACAAAACAGAAGGTAACAGTTTTGGTTCGGTAAGAATTATAGAAGTTGAGGTTATATTGCATCACAAGGTATTTTTTTACGTCATCTGAAAGTACATCCTTCAAAACCCTTCTTGATTTTTTTCAATAACGCTTTTGCTCTTCGAGAAATCATTGGTTAGGTTTGAAAGAAAAACTGTTTTTAGATGGGGAAGGACCTTTACATTATGGAGTGTGTTCGAATTATCTTCATGATGTTCCTGAAGGAGATGAAGTTTGTCTATTTGTCAGAAGGTATTAATGGGGTAGTTAAATTTTTTCTGACCTATACTTTTTATGGTTTTATTCAAGGCGTTTTGTAATATTACGCAATTCTGTGAAATCAGAATTTCAATTGAGTTTACCGTTTTCGAGATATTTACAAAAAATATAAATTTTTATGACGTCACAAACCTCGCCATGTGACCAACATTCTAAGATTTCTATTGGTTGAAAATTACCTGTTGTCAAGTTGTCTTGTTAATGATTTCATTCGGTTATGTCATAAAATACCCGAAGACGTTATGTACAAATACTGTCACTGTCAGTTGAGTGAAAGATGGTCACCAAATTCATTAAGTACCTATCTTCCTTATTACGAGGTAGCATATTACTGTTTGATATTTTAGAGTCCAAGATATATCTAAAAGAATATAAAGAACTAGGCATTATACTAATGAAATGCATTTACGACAAAATATGATTATAATCCTATGTACTTACTTTATTTGTTTAAAAGCTCCAATGTTCAATGTAACCAACCATTCCACAAGATTCCTCTGCTTTGGAGTCCGTTATTAATAAATCACTTATCTAATATCAATTACAAATTGCATAACAATAACGTTGATTTTCAATAATCTAAATTTAAAAAAAAACATAACCCGAAAAAAAGAAACGTCAAAAAATCAATTCTTCTTCTTCTTCTCAACTAAAATTATAGATCAAGTGGTTTTAAAACTAAAATATTATAACGTGGCGCCATCTATCGTAAGAATCTTAAACTAAACACACTGTCAACCATAGAAAAAGCTGGCAACGTTGTCAATAGCCTAGTGACGTAATTAGGAGATTTTTTTTGTAAATATCTCGAAAACGGTAAACTCAATTAAAATTCTGATTTCACAGAAATGTTTAAAATTACAAAACGCCTTGAATAAAACCATAAAAAGTATAGGTCAGAAAAAATTTAACTACCCCATTTGTATAAAAATACATTTCTACATTACTAACTAAATTCAACCAACCTTTGTTGCGAAATGTTATTTCAAAAACAATTTTTTAGTGCTCCCAATTTCTATCTGCCAAACGACCCCTCCAGGCCCGTTATCCTTGTTGGGCCTGGCACTGGAATTGCTCCGTTCAGGTCGTTCTGGCAACACCGCTATGTGCAGACACGCAATAAAAACCTCAAAATTGGAAAGATGTGGCTGTTTTTCGGGTGCCGCACGAAAGACATGGACTTATACAAGGACGAAAAAAATCACATGAAAATTTCCGGGGTTTTGGATAAAGTTTTTCTGGCTTTGTCGAGGCAACCCAACATACCAAAAGTAAGTGTCCTTTTAGCTAGAATCCAATTTTATTTTACTAATTAGCAACACTTTAATAGTTAGAAATTCCATTTGTACTTTTGGAAAATTCGTTTAATGAAACATCCATGATAGTTGAACTTGATGAGGATAAGTTCTGCCAAGAGTCATCCTTTGAAGCTTCCTGTTGTTTGTAGCCTCTAAAAATTTTCTTCATGTTTGAATTTCATTTTGAATGCTTTCTCCTATATAACCCTCAGCAGAAGATGTTGAAGACTATCCCCCAGTCTTTTCAAATCAGGGATACTGTCCCCATTATCAAGCAACATGGTAGCTGCACTTCTGTGTGGCTAATGGAATCAGGAAGCTTCAAATATTCAGCAATTTTTTTCGGCAAACTATAAAATGTGTTGATCCCCACCGGTTGCACAGTGCATTTACCATTCCGGTAACAAACGAAAAATCTGGAATGATTCGTGTTTTGTGGCCTTCATTTACGATACTTTCGATACAACTCAATTCCGTTCGCTTCCGAAGTTATGGTAAAAACTCGCTTCTTTTTCGTTTTTGTATTCTATATCGTTAATTGTTAGTGTTCGTAAATCTTCCCCTCCCATTGCTTCATTTAAAGCAAAATTAATGCCACTTTCCTAAATAGATACGATTCATTCGAAGCGTCATTTAGAAACTTTATAATTTGTTCAATTGACTTTTTACCCAAGCAGCATTTTTGCAAAAAAAATTTTTGGTTCCAAAAACCATTGCCAAAGTGGTGATAACTTTAAATTAGTTAAGTATACTAAACAGCTACTTTAATTTTTACGTAAAAGTAATTCTAACTTTTAAATAGCAATATTTTGTAACAGAAACCTAATTTTTCCTTAAATGGTTACTATAAAGTAATAAACATTTAAGTAAAACTTGGTTGCCCCCAAGAACACTTTGCAACTTTAAAAAAGGTGTTATAAGTAAAAAACTTTCAAGTTACAATTTAATTTGTAGCAGTTAAAATTTGCAAGTTAAAATCTCGAAACTGGAACATGAGTTAAAAACTACAATGTTAATAACTTAAAAGTTATTATTTTAGTATTTGGAACTACTTCAAAGGAAAATGCTTCTTATCGGCCATTTTTTACTGTAATGTTAATAATAAATTATTTTAATTGTTTGTAAATGGTTGTTTACTTTTTAATAAATATTAATTTTGTTGATAATAGACGGTATTAATAATTAAATAAAAAAATTAATAATAAATATTAAGATTTTTTTATTTATAAACATTATTAAATAAATAATTTGTTTATACTTAAATATTGATGAAGCGTATTTATTTTACAAAAACTAAATTCATAAGTTCAACAGTAAAATTTAAAGGGTTTATAAATTTACCTGATTAATTAAACATTATATTGTTATTCTGGAAGTTATAAACTACCAGTACATATTTAATAAACGACGACATTGAAAAGCCAAGTCCGTAGTGTTTCCATTTAAAAAAGGAGGGATAGTATAATCTAATATAAGTTTTACAAAGACAGTTAATATAGAAGTAAAAACAAATAAATAAAAGTAATTATAACGCTCTAGCAACGATATTGGAACGTTCTAGTAACGTAGCAGCTACGTTCCAAATAGTAGCAGGGTTTATAGCTAGTGACATATTTGTTACCTTTTTGGAACTCAATAATTATTCCCCACTTTACTCGTAACTTAGTAATAAAAGATTAATATAAAGAGACCGGCGACTGTCGCAAAACACTTTTAAGTTTCTTCAATAGTCCCATATACGTAACAAATACTTAAATTGTTGCTTGGGATCCTTCATTCTGTTTTTTCAAAAAATGCATGCAATTGCAATTAATTCCTGGTATTTTTAAATGTCACTGCCTTCATATATTTGCAACGTACTCTTCAGCATCGAATATGTTGACCACAGTGACGATGCCTTCAGTTTTTGGACTAAAAATGCAAGAAAAAATTAGAAATATTTTTCTTTTAGACTTACGTTCAAGATTTGGCCCTAAACGAGGCGGCGGAAGTATATAGATATTTGGTTTTGGAAAAAGGACATTTCTATGTTTGCGGTGATTGTACAATGGCTGAGCATGTGTACCAAACGTTAAAAACCATAATTCAAAAGTATGGAAGTATGAATGATCAACAGGTGCAGAGCTACATGTTATCTTTAAGGGTAAGATAATTTTAATTTTTTTGGTATAAAGGGTGAACAATAAAAACTTTTAGGACGAGAATAGGTATCATGAAGACATATTTGGAATAACATTAAGAACGGCTGAAGTGCACAATCGTTCGCGAGAATCCGCCAGAATTCGTATGGCATCGGAACCTTAACGCAAATTTTCATTAAGACATCAAATTTTTAATAACTAACATTAAATTAAATTTATATATAATAAAAAATTAATGGTAATAACACTAAAAGAAAACAACCGTTTTTAATCGACACTAAAACAAACAAAAATGTCATCAAATGAACTTTTTATTCATCTACTCATCTATTGACTAATGTATATAAATATACTCTTGTATATTATTAATCTCGCACAAAGAAAGTTCGAATTGTTACTGAACGATATATGCACTAAATATATGAGAATAAAAAAATTCTTTATGTGATCATTATCTACAAATAATTATTGAATTGTGATTTTAAATGCTTCTATTATAAATCTTGTTGTTGTAAATTACAATATCATCGAATTTATGTATATGCAATATAACTAATTTAATATTAATTCAATAAAAATATTTAATGACTAAAATGTGTTTTTTTACTTACTGTAGCACAAACTCGTAACAAATGGAAAAACCAGGTGGGTAATAATAAAAAAATAACATCCTAAATTTAATGTATTTTCTTCTTACAAAATAAATTATTGTAAATATAAAATGTAACACTGATTTTTTTCTTCATAAATTATTATAAACACTTATATTATATTATATTATAAATCTGTTGGTGCGTTTTACAAAAAAAATTAACAAAAAAGTCGTTTATATTATGTCACTTTTACAACAAAAAATATATATTCTACACATTCATTCATATATTAAGAATTAAGTATTTTTTTATACTTTTATGCGTAAATGTTTCTTCTGTAGTGGTTTCTTATCGAACTGGACAGGCAGAGACCAAAGACTGCACCAATGATCTAAAAAATAAATTAAAATATATTAATAAGAAACTACTTTTGTGTCGAATAAGTTACTTCGGCAGCTGCAACTCCAATGACGACTCCGCCGATGATTTTGAAGCTTTTTTCGAAAAAGGTGAACAAAGCTTCTGAACATCCGATTTGGAAAAGGTTCGAGGATGCTTTTCCGCAGTTTTTGTCCTTGTTTTCGCAACAGGTGGGAGGAAGGTAGTTCCAGTCATCGGGACCGTCAACTCCGCAACAATGCATCTAAAATAAAAAATACATTAATTATGTACTAAAATTATTAAAAAAATTGCTCAAAAAAATTATTTTCATAGGTATTTAATCATTTGTTGAAAAATACCCCCAAAATTATGTGAAACGCGATGGTACGTTTTTGGGAATATAAATAATTTATTTATTTAACATGTTATCAAAATTATTTAAAATTTATCAATTTGTTATAACCTTGGTAACTGTATTTATATATGTATGTATGTATTTATCATACAAAAATTAAAAAAATTCATAAGTTAATAAAAAATGCAAAATTAATAGTAAATAAGCATTTTAGTCCGTTTTAATTAGGCACGAACGAGCTTGCAAGCGAGTGTTTAATAAAAACGGGTATATAGAAAAATTTATAAACGAGTTGCATACTATATCAATGTTTTTACCTTCATTAAACAAAAAGAAAAATGTAAAGCCAATTTTATTTTTAAACATTTGACTTTGCCAGTTTATAATATTTAAAGCCAAAAACAAGCAAATGAAAAGAGACTATTATAAATAGTATATTATGTATCAAGTTTGATAAACGCCATTTTATACACGCGAGTGCTTAAGTTAATACGTGTATAGAAAAGTTTATAAACGAGGTGCATACTATACTTTTTCTACGACAAATACTTATTATAACCTTAAAATGATTTAAATCAAAAATTTGTATAGAGCGCCATCTATGAAACAACAGGGGAAACTGTCAATTTCACATTTTTACATTTTATAAACACAATTATAAAGTTTATAAATCGAAATGTATCTTGAAAATTGACAGTTTTTCACAGTGAAAGTAAAGGAAATGTTTTATGAGGACTTTACAGTAGAGTCCGTGCCCGAATTTAAGTTATAGTTTACTGCCGGCGAAATTAAAAGGTCAGTACAATGTTCATATAAACTTTTCAAATATTGGCGTTGAGAAACTATTTAATATTTTTGTATTTTTGTATTGAGATAATAAAATAATTAGAAAAAATACTTTAAAATAATAAAAATACCCAAAAATTGGAAATATTTTGAACTCGAAAAATGTATTAAAAATTAATCTGGAATAAAAAAAAATTATGAAATTAGACATAAATAATAAAAAATATTTTTCTTATTCCAGATTAATTTTTAATATAATTCTATAATACAGGGTGTTATGTAATTAATGTAATATATTAAAGAAGTACCTAAAACTTTTTTTTTTCTAAATTCTTAAGATTAAAAATAACCTTTACCCTACCAAAAAGTACGCCACTGATCAACTAGGTACTTTAGGCTAATCTGGTTGCCTAACTTAATTTATTATGTTATGGTTGGTAACAAGCAGCGTTTCCATATTCTGTCAAAAAAGTTTCCAGATTTTGTTTAAATTTTGCTTAATTACAAAAATGACGAAATCAACAATGCAATTTGTTAATTTGGCGATTTTTTATTGTTGATTATGTCATTTTTGTAATGAAGGTAAATTCAAACAAAATCTGGCAACTTTTATGCATAGATTAGATAAATTATTATAAATTAGATAAATTGTAAATATCTTAACTTAGGGAAGTGCTTTTGGATTTATTTACACAAATTGAATGTGGCGTATCACATCCAATATATAAAAAACTTCTAAGGCGTATTTTTTCTTTATCTTTGGGAAAATATTTTAATATATTACATTGTTAGGCATGGTTAGGTTATGTTTGATATAAAAAAATAAGAATTGTGGCCTTTAGATCATTTAAGACTCAAAATTCTAAAAGACATTAAAAGAAAACAATGAAAAAATCATTTTAAAAATTGGATTATAATTAATCAAAACTTAATAATTTACATTTTCTTTTACTTACCACACTTTGCACCAATTGAATGGTTTCATTGGCCTGGGGAGTTTGGTCCCTTTTATCAAAAGCTTTCTGGTAATTCTGCCTTATGGAATGCCTAAACTCGTTGGTATCCTTTATCTGGAGGAACGCGTAAATACCAATCGCAACTTGCACAATGAAAATGGTCAGAAGAATAATAGCATACTAAAAAAAAAAAATTATTTTTTTATCATCCATCAAGATTAAGTATTTTGTTTCTTACGGTTGTCAACATGCAAGTGCTCTCTTTGACAGCTCCGCAGCATCCCAAGAAGGCGGTGACAAAGACAATTCCACCGATGATTATCGACAACCATGGAGCAAGGCTAAAGTCGGACGGCAACGCAGCACTAGCCTCGCTGTAGTGGAATTTGTAGAGGCAACCGATGATTATAAGCGCAAGACCGGCAAGCTATAAAAAGAAACAATACTGTAGTAATTTTATATGCATAATAGTTATTTATGTCATTAGGTTAAGAAGTAAGGCTTTTTGTGCTAAGCTCAAGGTTTGAGCGAAGCACAAAAAGGCACTTGGCCGAATGGCATACAACATTTTATCTTCAAAGCACTTTACTTAGGTCAATTTAATTCAACATCAAAGCGACCTAACCTTACTTTTTTAGAATCTCATTTATTTATTAGCTAAAGATTACATTAAATGTACAATAATAATTATTGCTTTTAGAAGCAGTAATAGTTTGACAATACCTAGCAACATGATTTAAGTAGAAATGGATGTGCTATGCTATTACATTGAATTCAATTAATTGTTTAATAAATAGGTAGGTATCTAATTTGAATTTGTTTGTATTTTTATGTAAAAAATAGGTAGTTTGGAATGTTTAAGCTGTGTTTAATATTTAATTTCACTGAAAACTTAAAGCAAATTAAAACTTAAAGATAATTTAAATCGTAGAAAAAGAATCGTGCGTTTTCTTGGTTGCCTAACCTCACTTTTTGTTTTGTTATTCATATTTAATTTTACAATAATTTAATGAAAAATATTAAACATAAAAACATAAAAAAACAAATTAGTGCTTATTATAAATAAATTAAACCAGTTTAGTACGTTAATTTCTTAGAAAAGGATTAATTTGTCAAAACAATACTCCTATCGAGAAAAAATCGAACTAATTACTTGCCTCATAAAATTTTTTATCGGCCTAGGCCATAACAAGGTATTTCTTTATCGAATGTTGACAACAATAAAGTTTAAATTATAGACCGCGTGGAGATAAAAATATTAATTATTGAGCCTGAAAATTGATGTGGCAATAGCTGATATATTTTCAATTAACAGGCAATAAAATTTGCGGTTGACGTAGTAAAAATGCGATTTATATTTTTATAGTCAGGTAAACCACATAATAAAATCACATGTGAAATTGTGGTAAGTAATTTTTTCCTGTCGCGTATGAGTCACCAAACTTCTATGAACAATAATAAAGCCAAGGTAGTCACTGTTTATTTATAAAAGTTATAATTTAATGCCTTACATATTAATATATTTCTACGTATACGTATACATTTAATTTGATATTTTTAAATACCTAATTAATTTCTAGTATTTGTGGCTGAAAAAGTATAGTTTAAAAACTTTTCTAGGCACAAATTAAATTCTTGACTATAATGGTAAAAATGATAGGTACCTACATAATATTCTATTTTGTCCACACCCAGTTTTTAATATCCTTGTGTACGTAAGGCTCTTATTGTTTGTAATTAACAATTTAATTAACCTTGAGAATTTTTAATTAAACAGTTTACAGGTAATTTAATTCTGATTTAATCGCTTTTTCGTTAAAACATGTTTTAAAAGTCTAAAACCTATCCTCCGTGACTGTTACTCTTTCTAGGTTAACCTATATGTTTTAAAACATCTGAGGTAGTAAAAGCATACTAAAATATCAGTTCACTAAGTAAATTAAACACATCCAAAGCAATCGAATCAAATATAAAATATTATTAAAAATTAAAAGAAATTTTTTTTATAACCATCTAGGTATGTTGGTGTTACAAAAATTGAGTCTATCCTCCGTGAATCTGTTTTAGCTTTAATTTTTATGCAACGGATTTTAAATAAGCAAAAACCTGTTTACGACATTATAGATGCATGTGATTCCTGAAGGTCAGTTAAAATTTATATGCAGATGAGAGTGTTGCTGTTTTATAATTCAAAAGTTTAAGTTCATTAATTTGCTATTTAAAAACCTATCCACCGTGAAGTGTAATATATCAGTAAGTAAATTTTTTTTATAAATATTTTATGTACAATTCTATTTTTTAAAAATATTAAGGTGTCAAAAGATACAATAACTTATTTTAAATATATAACGGAATGTTTAAAAAATAAATACGAATTCCTAACCTCCGTGAATCTATCTTCCGTGAAGCTCTAATATTCAAAATGTATGATTTCTTAAAATTCTTGCATTAGTGCAGACCCACTTATTTTATGTTATTACTAGACCTGGTGGCTTCCCAAAACTTATAAAAGGTAATAAAAATTACGAAAAAATTTCTAAAAATAAAAACCAAAGTCACGTTTAAAAAAACTAGACTTGACACATTTATGCACCTGACCATGCATGTGGATTCAGTAAATTTCAGTGGAACAAGTTTATAATTATTTATTTTATTCTTGACATAGACTAGAAATATAGGATGACCTTATAAAATATAGTTGCGTAAACTAGAAATATTAGTATTTCTATAAGGCAAATTTATTAATAAACTTGATTTTGCCATTTCATATTCAGGCTGAATAATTCAGCCAAATTAAGTCACCTTATATTTTATTAGTCTCACCTTGGACAAAGATTTTAGCAAAATTATTTTATCAAGCCAGGGTTATTTTTCTTTCCAAGCTTAGGTTAGGTTTTATTACAACATACTTTATTTTAAACTAACAAAAAGTGAAATTTCCTTGTTTAATCCAAGCAAACTTTACTATAATATAATATGTAAGGTTAATGCCCTTTTCTACAGTACACATAAAATTTTATCTAACAGTATTTTTTTCTTGCTATCACCGTATAATTTGCCTACTGGAAAAACAACCTGCTGTCTTTGTAAATTTACATTAGATAAAGAAAATAAAAAAATAAACATAAAAATATTGTAGATTTAGAAGAAAGTTGTTAAGATTACCTATATTATATTTCAAGGTTAGAATAGACGATTTAAATCCACTTTACCTGAAGGTCTTAAATTTATTAATAATAGTTTTAATGATGTAAATTTTGGCCCTGTCAGAATCATAACAACTTTTTTTACATGCTTCTTAAATCGGCTTAGAAAATGCACAGCGTTACCAACTAAAATTAAGATTAGAATCAATAAAATCACAACAAAAATATTTTTACATTTTTTTACGCACTGTTACCTAGTACATATTTCCAAACGCCTGATCCAAGTACAAATACCCATTAATAGCTCAATTGACACAGTTCCATTGTTGCATTACAACCGATTGTTTAAAATTTGTCGCGGTTTCAACGCATAATGTATTTATAATGAAAAAACTGAGACACGCCCACATGATAATTAAGTAGGCTTGGAAAACAATTGAAAGAAGAAAGCTGTCTCAGCAGAGGCGACTAGATTAGGAATAAGTTTAAAAAGATATACTTACTACCCCAGTAGCACAAAATATTGGTCCTATATGGGGCGCATATATGCCCAATATTTTATCTGGGATCAATATTGGATTTATTTAGCCGATGTTGGCCCTATATTGGCATAAAATGGTTATTTAATATATCTTGCCAATGTTTATCCAATCTTGGTCCTATATTGGCATATCATTTTACGCCAATATATCATTAAACATATTTATCCAAGATCGGTCCAATATTGGCATATCATTTTAAGCCAATATATCATTAAAAATATTTATACAAGGTTGGTCCTATATTGGCATATCATTTTACGCCAATATATCATTAAACATATTTATCTAAGATCGGTCCAATATTGGCATATCATTTTAAGCCAATATATCATTAAAAATATTTATTCAAGGTTGGTCCTATATTGACATATCATTTTACGCCAATATATCATTAAAAATATTTATTCAAGGTTGGCCCTATATTGGCGTAACATGATTATCCAATATATCATAGTCGATGTGTGCTATGTTGGCCCCATATTGGCGTAAAATAATTATCCAATATATCATTGAAAATGGTTGCCCAAGGTTAATCTAATATTACCCCTACATTATCGTAAAATGATTTTCCAATATATCAATGTCACCCCAGTAGCACAAAATATTGGGCCAATATATTAACTACATTGGTAAAATATTGTTTATTGGCCCAATATTGGCAATCTTTAGCCAATATTGGTAGTTTATTGGCATTGCCACCTTCGCATTCATTTGATTTTAATATTAACCCAATATTGTGCCAATTTTTATGAAACATGTTACTGAGAAAAAAGCTTTCTATATGTGCTTATATTTCATTCAATTATGGAGTAAAATCTTACCAAGTTCAAACTAAAAACATAGATTCTCTTTTTAACAATTAAACGGCATTATATATAATGTAGTATTTTCTAATATTGGACCTATATTGGGTATATATTGTGTAGGGAAAATTCTGTAGTACTGACAACACTTGTACAAAGCCAACACATGCTGCGCGCGCTCGCCGCGAATTCACGCATACCAACAACCGGGTGGAAGTGTCAAACACCGTGTTTGACACTTCCATCCGGTTGTTTGAAACACGTGTAAAAGTTTTATCCTGTGCAAAGTAAATGTAAGTACCTATACAATTTAATATATTATATAAATATTATAACCATGAATATCCAGAAACTGCACTTGATGGAAGAAAAAAATGCTGAAATGCCGGTAAGAACTATGTTAAAAGTTCGATACAAATTATCACGTTGTTTATTATAGGGTCACCGATTGTACCTTTGTGGTGGGGACACTGCCCACAAGGCAGTTTTTCTAATAATGAATAAACTTTTATCAATGGAAGTGGCTGTATTTAGGGACTGAAAAAAAAAGGAAAGCTATCCTTTCGAAAATTATCTTGTCATTTGGCTGTAATAAGTAAGTTTTTTTTAATTTTTGCAAAGTAAATTATTATTTATTTTTCTTTATAGAAGCTATCCGTAAACGCTTCCCAACTTCAGAACTAAACAATTCCATATCCCTGTATTTGGCGGGGCGTCAGATAGAGGGGGTGGACACAAAAACAGATAATATGTTTTATGATAGTTTGTAACATCATGGTTTATGTATGTGTTTTAATGTTTTATGTAATACATAGACCAATAAAATATATTTTCGTTATTTAAAATTGAATTATAAATATCTATTTTTTCTATTCCCAAATTTATATATATATATATATACACATGTATATACAGTTGTATTCAATAAAAAAGCGTACAAGAATTAGAATGAGAGAAAACTGTCAAAATAATATTATTGCTTAAAACCGGCTTATCACTGACATAAGTCATTAAAATAATTATTATAGGTTATAAAGAGCATTGACGTCGTAGGTTAATTAAATAATATTACAAAAATTATTACCTTTTAATAATGAAAAAAACAAACATTAAAAAAAAATTAATATTTAGTCATGCATCCCTGTTTTTCTATTACTTGAGCCAATCTATTTGGGATGAACTAAATTAAATTTAATACAATATTTGTATTAATATCTTCCCAGCAGTATAGTAGGTATAGTATAGTTGTATAGTTTCCCATAAATCCTCAGATATCTCAAAAAAGCAGCATCCTGTTCAGGGGTGGACATTTTGGGACGACGACCTGAACAAACTTTTTGGTTTAGTAAATCTTCCTGTTCCCAGCGTTGCTTAATTTTTAATATAGATTTTTTATTTCTATTATACCACAGTACGAATTGACCATTCTTCTTCGATTCTTGATCCTTTTTGGAGCCTTTTTAACTTACGAGGCATTTTTATTTTCTACTGTCAGTTATAGTGACTTAAGTCAGTGGAAAGCCGGTTTTACGCAATAATGTTGACAGTTTTCTCTCATTCTAATTCTTGTACGCTTTTTTAATGAATACAACTGTACATCAAACTTTATAATTTAATGTAAAAAATTTACTTTATTTACAAACTGAAATGGTAAAATATATATCACCTATATTGGGTAAACATTGGATCATTATTAAATAAAAATATAGGTCCTATATTTGCAAACTAAAATGGTAAAATATATGGTACAAATATTGGGTAAATATTGCATTTAAGTATTGGATCGGTATTGAATACAAATATTGATCCTATATTTACAAATTAAAGTGGTAAAATAAATGTCACCTATATTGGGTTAATATTGTATGTCAATATTGGATCAATATTTAATACAAATATAGGACCATTAAAATACAATCTGACGTTTCCATCATTGGGCCAATATGTAAAAATAATATTTTACCAATATTGGTGTGCTACTGGGGTATATAGTATAGGTACTTAAAATTTTAATGATAAAACGTAAAAACACGATTATTTTTATCGCAAGGTGAAACTTGTTTGTATGGACGAATTGTTGCAATGTTATGAATCAACATTGCAGTAAAATAATCTCTATTTTTAACGTTTTAACTTTTTCGCATATGAGATCATTCATAACAAATATTTCAAGAAGACTAAATTTTATGTTAATTTTTGACACGTTTTTCTTTGACATTGCATCGACCAAAAATGTTTTCTTGAGAATACGTGACGCGTTTCTATTGTTTTTTTTCAAGATCATTTATAATTAATCTTTAAAAAATTCAACACGTTCTCTGTAAACTATTTGATTTTAAATGCATGGTTTAATAATGTATTTTTAACCAGAGATTTTTTTTCAAAATAATAAAATTTTAAAAAATTTATTTCGTATTTTTTTTAGTGTTGGGCAACGTTTTGTATACATTCTGTGAAAGATATATTTTAAAGAAATTTATTAGATAAACAAAAATGCAAAATTTACGTAGACATTTAAAAATAAAACATGTATTATTTATTTTTTTTACAGATTTTGCACATTGAGTAGGTAGTTTAATAAAAAATAAATTGTTCAAATTTAATTATGATAAATGCAGTGTTCCTACGATTTTGCATACGTCTAAGAAATACTATATAAAAATTAAAAATTAAATTAAATTTTGAAATTTAAAAATATGGTGTTTTATTCAGTGAAAACCAAACACACTATAAAAATAAAAATGTAATTTTAAAAAAATTCTTAAACCATGAAAAAATTGTCCCCTACAATTAGTATTAATATTAGTATTAGTATTATATAACTAATTAGTATTTAATAAAAATATTAAAAAAAATATTTTAACTATTTATTCAATACAAATTGATAATTAGTTTATAATTAGGCTAAGATAAAAATTAATAGGATATTAACATCCGCATTTAAAGGAAAACGGATTATAGAAAACGGATTTATATGCAAAATATTAATAATACAAAATTTCAAATTCTACATAATATTATTGAGAATTGCAAAAACAAATACAAAAATTTTAAAAAACAAATTTAGACTTTTTATATTTTAAAGATGAATATTATCTGCTGCATATCAGTCCGCATCATTCATCACCCACACTGTTTTGATTAGACATTTTAATTGTTCTATTAGTGAATATTGGCATCAGTCCAAAAATGTCTTTTTCCAAAAACGGTCGTTGCGAAATTTTCGCGATTTTTTTCGTTTTCGTAGCCGTCCTTGGTGTGGCACAGGGAGCGGTTCGACGACAAGTCCATGCACCCCCGAAAAACGGCTCCAGGGCCGGAATATGCACTCTTGAAGTTCCGTAAGAAAAAATGCAATTTTTTTAATTTTTTTTTTTTTAATTTTTCGTTTTTTAGGACTGCAGATCTTTTGACAGTCGAAGATAGGCAAAGAGGTGGAAATTTTAAAGGAAATGGGGTAAGAAACACATTAACAAAATTAATGCAATGTTTATTGATTTCATGCAAATATGTAATTACAACAGAAACAATTAAGCCCAAGGTCATATTTACGTGCAGTCAACCCCATTTAAATAAATGTAATCCGGCATGCAATTTTATTGTTCGTAAACCCTGCATTACTTTTAATAGTGTACACTATTTGAGGCTGTAATAGTGTAGAATCTAAAAGTCGGCCAATTTTTTTTTTCAGTCAAAACCAGGTTTCAGCATGATTGAAATTTGCTGCTCAGGGTGGGCTAAAAAACCTCACAACCACTACGAATGCGAACCAGTGTGTGACAACTGCGAAAATGGAAACTGTACTGCACCCAATGTATGCGTGTGTAAACGAGGCTTTATCATGGTAAAAAAAGTTTACAATATACATAGTTTAACAGTTTTATGGGTTTTTATATGAAATTAGGGATAAACCAATCAGAGCACAATTCTCCACAGCACACTAGATGCTATGGAGAATGTCGTGATCCGATTGGTTAATTGCTTTCCATAGGTATCATTTTCTATAGAATTGTAAGAAATACTTTAATAATTATTATAATTAACTAGTAATTTTTTATACAGGATATTCACAAAACCTGTATTCCAACGTGTCCGATTGGTTGCCTAAACGGCGTCTGCACAACCAACGGCGTTTGTTCTTGCAACGCTGGATTCACTTTGGACAGATCTGGGAAACTTTGCAACCCTGTGTGTAGGGAGGGTTGCGGTATAGGAGGCGAATGCTTGGGTAACGATATTTGCAGATGCAATCCAGGGTAAGTATTTTGCTTAAATATTAACATTTTATTTTACCATGGAAAAATACTCTCTTAAAATGAATTAGTCAAAAATAACTAATTATAAGTCATATTTGACTAATTGTCATAGCGAAAAAGCAGTCACTAATAATTAGTCAAATTCTACTGAATGAAATAGTGAAATTAGTAGATTTAAATTTAAAAAAAGTTTTGACTCAGTCGGGGATTGAATATTGTTCATAATATTTTAAAGTTAAATATATTATTTGTGTTGCTGTTTTGAGCTAAACTTTTTGCATCTTTGTTTGTTTTTATGGGCCATTTAACTAGATGCATTTAATTCAAATAATACTTTGTTGTTGGCCGCAAACTATTAAAGAAATTAGTTACTTTTAACTCTCAGAAATAGTCAAAAATGATTACTAATCTTACATTAGTCAAGCTTTAACTATTTCAGTACTAAAAAACTATTTAAAAGTGAAAACGACTATTTTATTAGTAAAAAATTCAAATAGTAGAATTTTGACTATTTCATTTTAGAAGAGTACGTATACTTTTTACATTTGAAAAATTTTTTGAATGGTCGATAAGACCCAAGTTTTTCATCAAAAATATAAATAAATACGCAGTACTGCCTAGTTAAATTGTTTATAAATCTATAATTAGAATTAAAAAATAACTTCGTTGATTATTACAAAAACAAGAAGTAAGGCAAAGATTATTTCAACATAACATTTGCTTTAATAAAAGTTTATCTGTTAGCCATAGGGTTAGCCATATTAAAAATATGACATTTAAAAAGTATATACAAAATTATAAATATAATTATTTTTAATTGTTCAGTTTTGTGTTGGACCCAAAAACCAACAAATGCGGATATCTATGCGAAGGCGGCTGTGGAAGCGGCACATGCGTAGGACCAAACAGATGCGCTTGCGCAAAAGGCTTCAAAGACATCGGCGGTACATGCTTGCCAGATTGCCCCAAGGGTTGCCTAAGTGGCCAATGTACAGCTCCTAATGTATGCTCTTGTCAACCTGGTTGGAAGATCGACCAATCTGGTAAGACATCTTTGAAAATAATGATTTTACAGAAAAAAGTAATTTATGAAAAATTTAGAGAATTTTATTGGCTACAAAAATTGTAGATACACATTTTAGTGAAAAATGTCCAGCAAACGAGATATATTGATTTTTTGTTTAAAGCATTTTTTGCATAATTAAAATTTTATACACTCACAGGCAAAATAATCGATCCACACAAATTTTCGATGAATTTCAATCGCAAATAACTTTTTTATTTGATGTCGGATTTAAACGAATATTAAAGAATATTGTAGATAAATTAATGGACAATTGCTCACATTTTAAAAAATTACTAAAAAATAGACGTACCTCGATATATTTATTTTTGTGGAAAATATGGATTTTTTTAAAAAACATTGCAGTTTCCAATATTTTTCTGTATGAAGAACTAAGGTTGCTATGGTCCATTCCTAGGCTATGGAGAATGACAGTGACAGTTTTGTTGAATCATCCTATACTTGGACATGTCATATACTTCTTTCAAAAGCTATCAAATTGTTTTTTTCAAATTAATGTTTAAATATTGGGGTGTCTTCTTACTTTAAAAAATGGATAGGTCTCCGACTGATGTTGCCAGAGCCATTAATTTAAGTGTTTTAAACGTCACAAGAAGTAAAGTACAAAGAGCAACATCAGTCGGAGACATTTTTAAAAGTAAGAAGACACCTCAAAATTAACACATTAATTTACAAAAAACAATTTGATAGCTTTTGAAAGCTGTATATGACATGTCCAAGTATGGGATGATTCAACAAAACTGTCACTGTCATCCTGCATAGGCTATGGATGGACCATAGCAACCTTAGTTCTTCTTACAGAAAAAATATTGGAAATTGCAATGTTTTTTGAAAAAAATTCATATTTTCCACAAAAATAAATATATCAAGGTGAACCAAAAACAAAACTGTTAAAAATAGATGTGACTTGATAATTAAAACTTAATTTAGAGCAATATACGGTTTTGCCACTCTACAGAGTGTCTTAAACTTATGGTAAAAAACATCTTTTTGTTTAAACCTGTATATTATAAACGTACGTGTATTTTTTAGTAATTTTTAAAATGTGAGCGATTCTCCATTAATGTATCTACAATATTCTTTAATATTTGTTTAAATCCGAAATCCAATAAAAAAGTTATTTGCGATTGAAATTCATCGAAAATTTGTGTGGATCGATTATTTTGCCTGTGAGTGTAAATTAATTACTAAAATTAATCATTTTTAGGTTCTGTTTGTCAGGCCCATTGCAACCACCCCTGTCTAAACGCCGATTGTACAGCTCCAGACACGTGCACATGCAAAAAAGGTTACATAACAGATCCAAGACAGCCCCAAGGTAACAAATGCGTCGCACATTGCCCAGGTGGCTGTGAAAATGGCACTTGTTCAGCACCTAATTTCTGCATTTGCAACCCTGGATTCGTTAAAGAAACAAAGGGTAGCAACAGGTAAGTCTGGCAACACAGCTATTACTATTTTGCGCACACTTTTTGTGCTAGTAACAATACAATCCAGTACACTCAATATCGCAATGACGTATTACTAATTTACAAATTTAAATCAACTAAATTTTAGTTTTAGTAAATTAAAATTTATTTTAATTATTTTTAGATGTGTCAGAAGGGTTAGAAGGTCTACAAATGAATTGACCAAAATCCATTATGACCTGATTCCGCCCCAAATAGACGAGTTGCTTCGTTTGTAGAATTTGACATGTTAAAATAAATGAATTTATAAATAAAATAAACTACTTTAAATATCTTTGTACTTGTTTTTGTACAACTTTAAACAATTTAAATGAGTCACATGCTAATTTGATTACGAAAATAAATTGTTTCTACTGTTATTTTTTTAATGTAGATTTCACATACCTACCTACCTATTAGAGTTATTTTTGTAAATTCTTATAAATATTGATCTATTTTTTTCAATATTTACAAATGTCTGAAGCTTAAGATGGATAACGATCGTTTTTTTTTCTATTTTTAGTTTGTTCAGTATTATAACATTTCACAAAATAATTTCCGCTTTTCAGACCAATATTTATAGATAAATTTAAACATATTAAGTTAACTGCAATGATAATTTTTAAACATAACATATTAATAAAAATATTATATTTACAGATGTACGCCCCTGACTTAAATGCAAGTTTACGGCCAGGGTCACACGAAGGTTTTTTAATTAAATTCGAAGTCAAATAAAATTACCTACAATTTTTACACTCAACTATTGTTGCAATAACAATCAATTTATAAGTAACGTGAAAAAACAACTTTTATTTCCTTAGTAACAATTTTTTTAACTAAGTTCGAAAGTTATCAAAATGTATTCCAATTAATACTAATTGTATATTAAGAAAAAGTTCGCATCAATTTATTAAAATTGTTTATTAAGTTGATAATAATATTTTTTAAGTATATTTAGATAGATAATGGCAAATTTAATTTTGTTTATGCGCTTTCTCAAATATTTGTTTTAAAATTAGGAACACAAAAAATATAATAAAAAACGTGTGGTAATTTGGGATTTCAACACGCGTGACGCATATAAACACTTTTTATTTGTTCAAACAATAATGACGCTAAATTGTGTAAATTGATAAATTAGTAAGCCTTAAAATTACTTTAAAGGGTAAAATAGTTTTATGATTTCCTATGTCTTAAAAATGGCAACACTGTGTCATAAATTGAATTACTCATCATACTTATAGCGGTTGATATGAAAACAAACCAGAATTTAACATAAAAATAAACATGAAAACAAACAAAAAATACCAAAAATTTCTTTTATTTATTTTTTACTTTACTTTTAATTTCACTCATGTACCTTTAGAGGTATAAAAAAAATATCTATGTATTTAAAATTTATAATGCCGTACCTACCTACCTAATTTATAAAATATTTTTCGTTTTTTATATTTTCTTGTTAAATCACAAAACGTTTGAATTTATGTTTGAATTTTGATCTTTGGGTCAAATAAGATTAGAAAAAGACACGTGGTGGAATAACTATAAACTAAAAAAACAAACTGCTTTAATTTTACTTATTTATTTTCCAATTGAATGATTTTCTACAACTGTATTATTGCGTATTGTGTAAGAGAATATTTTATAAGGTAAAATGAAAGTTTAGCAAAAAAATACTTTCCTTATTTTGTTACAACAGTGTAAAGTGATATACCTAAATTTATATATTTAAAACCGTAGACATTATTTTATATTTAAAAAGGGTGAACATTTCCTGACATCTTGTTAAAAAGTTACACCCACTTCGGAAAACATATGCAGCGTTAAAACATTAGGAAGTTAACCTAAATAAACGTCTTGTGAATTCACCGAAATAGAACGCCCACATCAAATTTAAAACGTTCTGCCACTTTAATTTACTAATTGCTTCACTGTGCGCCGTAATGGCAAACAAACGGCACCTGTTGATTAAAACTTACCGCAAAAATCAGGTTGGCGAGGAACACGAAGTACTTGACAAGTCCCGTAGCGCACCCCATGATTAATCCAACGGGTGAAAATCACAGAAAACAACAAACGAAAACACTGCAAACCGCGTACGTTCTAACCTAGAAACTGTGTGCGACTGTTGAACATAGAAAGAGAAGAGCGGCGTTTGGCGCGGCTGCTGCGAGGTCGAAAAGAGGTGGAAAAACTAGTTTTTGTTTTGAACACATATTTAGAGAACTATATCGCGTTTGGACCTTTGCGCAACCTACTGCGCTTTGTATTAAAAGGAGATAAAATGGGCATCCATTTTGATACTGGGATCTAGGGAATTTTAGTTGTTATGTTGGCGATTAAACGATATAACTAAATTTACGGCTTCCTTTGTGTTTGTTTGTATTTCGTTATTTTTAATTTTTATGCTTCTTATTTAAGTTTACTTTATTAATTAAGTGAATTTCGTTGTTTATTTAAGTTGGTCTATTCCACAGATTCTGTTAAGATAGTGTTTAAAACTTTATAAACCAGTGTTTTGAAGTGTATTTTAAAGTACAGACATGACTTGTGTTGTAAAAGATTGTAAAAACCAGCGAAGACTTTTGCAACTTGGTAAACATATATCTTTTCACAGGTAAATTTAATAATAACAATAAGTTACAATTATTTAAACATATTATTTTAGATTTCCACGTAAAGACTCCTCCTTATTCAACAAATGGCTGGAAAACTTAAATCTTGGTCCCAAAAATTGGAAATTAACTTTATATGTTTGTTCCAACCACTTTAATAACGAGGACATCATCGTTACCCAGTCAGGAGCAAAAACGGTGCACAAGCTCAAGGTCAATGCAGTTCCCAGCCTAAACCCAATAAAAGCGAGTACATCAGGAGACGTTACTGCAGTCATGCAATGCAATCAAGATTTTACTAAACCAGTTGGAACCCCTCCAAGAAAAAAAATCAAATTTGCATTAGAATATGATCAACTTCCAGTTGAATCTAGGTAAGTTTAATAAAACCCATAAAAACGTATTGTATAATATAATTTGTCCTAGGAGGAAAAAATCTGGATGGTCATCGTCAGATAGTACAAGTGGAGAGTCAAGGGGAAATCTTTCACCACAAAAAAAAATGAGACGACTTCAAAGGTAAATTGTTCATAATTTATATTGCATATTGTATAAAATTGTACATTTTGTAGAAACAAAACTGGTTGGACATCAGATAGTTCAGGAAGTGTTAAAAGAAAGAGATTTATTATAAAGAATGAACACTCGTATGTGTAAGTAAAATATTTACAAAAATATGCCAAAATACAATGGATTTTTTTTAGTGCCAGTCCTACTCAAGTAAAAAAGAAAAATTTGGAATTAAAAAGCAAACTTAGGGTTGAAAAATTAAAAACTTGGAGAGCTAATTGTAAAATTAAGAGAATGAAAAAGAGGATTTCATCTCTGCATGAAATTGTAAAAGATTTAAAATTTCAAAACGTTATGTCAGCCCCAGGGATTGAGTTTTTAGAAAAAACTATAGAGGGAGTTCCTCAAGCCTTTATGAAAAGGATGATAAGGAATGCTAATTTAAAATCCACAGCCAAGTATGGTGAAGAGCTTAAAAAGTTTGCAATGACTCTACATTTTTTTAATGCAAAAGCATATGATTATGTGAGAAACACTTTTAATTTGGCTCTTCCTCATCCAAGTGTTATAAGAAAATGGTGCAATGTAATTGACTGCAACCCTGGGTTTACTAAGGAATGTTTTGATGTCCTAAAATTAAAAAATGAAGAAAAAAAACTGGTAGTCTCCCTAACTTTGGACGAAATGGCCATTAAAAAACAAATAGATTTTGATGGAAAAAGAAATTGGGGGTACATAGATATAGGATTTCCAATTTCTAATGATTCAGTAGCATATGCTTCTGAAGCACTGGTTTTAATGGTTGTCTGTCATAATAGCTCCTGGAAATTACCAATAGGTTATTTTTTAATAAAGGCTTTAAATGGCCATGAAAAGGCAAATATTGTTAAAGAAGCACTCATAAGGCTACATGAAATTAATGTTGAAGTGACATCAGTAACATGTGATGGGCCAGCTGCTCATTTTAGTATGTTCAAAGAATTGGGGTGTAATTTTGATCCAAACAACATTAAGACCTATTTTATGCATCCAGCAGACAATAACAAAAAAGTGTATGCAATTTTTGATGCCTGCCATATGCTAAAGTTAGTAAGAAATTGCTTTGGTGATCTTAAAACCATTAAAGATCCCAATAATTGTGACATAAAATGGGAGTATATTGAGAAATTGCATAATATTCAGGAAAAGGAGACATTGCATTTGGCCAACAAGTTGGGCAAAAAACATATGGAATGGAGAAGACATAAAATGAGGGTATGTTTGTAGAGTTTATTATAAGTAATATGTTTAATTTTGTTCAATTTTAGGTGAAAATAGCTGCACAAACATTAAGTAATAGTAATGCTGAAGCATTACTATTTTTAAAAGACGATTTAAAACTTGATGAATTTAGAGAATGTGAGGCCACAATTAAGTTTTTAAAAGTTTTTAATGATCTGTTTGACCTTCTCAATTCAAGATTGCCTTGGGCTAAAAATCTTAAGGGGCCTTTAAGGCCAGAAACCTCACATGTCTGGAGACCATTTATGCATGATACCCTAGATTATATTATAAACCTTAAGGATGTAGGGGGTAGGAATTTATACCAAACTCTCAAAAAAACCCCATTTTTAGGGTTTATAATAGATCTGCATTCTCTAATGGGAATTTATGAAGATTATGTAGAAACAAAAAAACTAAATTATATTTTAACCTATAAGTGTTCTCAAGACCACTTAGAGCTATTTTTTTGTGCTGTTAGGTAATAATTTGCTATCATTAGTATTTTTTATAAAAATATTAAAATTTATTTGTTTTTAGATCTAGAAATGGCTGGAATAACAATCCCTCTGCATTACAGTTTATGAGGACATATAGAAAATTAATTTTAAATGCAAATGTGGAAGGCAAAGGGGGGAATTGTCAAGTTCTAGATTTGACATCAGTTCTTTCTGTCAATAATACAGTTTTAAAAAAGAAGAGCCTAATAGAGGAAATTCCTTTTTCAATTGAACATGTTCCTTTGGTGGAACATGATTATTTTAGACCTTTTGACAATATCGAATTGAGTGATATTTCTGAAAACATAGTTACCTATATAAGTGGCTATGTTGTCAAGATGATGATGAGTAAAACAAGATGTAAAGACTGTCTTGATTTTCTAATAAATTTTGATGGAGAACTTGATAATTCATTATTATTTAACAGAAGAAATTTAGGCACATATTATAAACCCTCAAAAGTTGTATGTAGAATATGCCAAACTACTGAAAAATTTATAAGAAAATTATTGTACATACATGATAATGATCTGTCTGGAGATACTATTGTTATTGACATTATTTCCCAGGTTTCTAAACAATTTATTGATAAATTAGAAATTCTTTTTCCTCATCATCACCAGCATAGTTTTAATTTGTTAAAATTAATAATATATTGTTATATTAAAATAAGATTAAATAACTTGGCCAAAAAATCCACAGAAAAAATACAAGGGGAAAATATAAGGCAAAAATTAAATAAATTAATTTTATTCAAACATCAGTAATATATTAAGTAATTAAATTATAAACTGCATTTTTATTTCATTCTTTTTTAATCCTTTAATAATCACAATACATTTTTGTAATAATATAAAAGTACCTACATTACATATGCAATATTATTTTGTATTATTTTAATAACTAAATAATATAAAGTCATTAGCCTTTTGAAATTATCCAATAAAATTTATTTTTACACTTAAAATACAGTTAAGTATAATTTATACTATAAAGACTGTAATAGCCTAATTTAAAATGCATTTACTAATTCACTGGGATTGAATATACCCAAGCAGCATTATAACGATATTGAAACGTTCTAGTAATGTAGCAGCTACGTTCCAAATAGTAGCAGGGTTTATAGCTATTTGTTACCTTTTTGGAACTCAATAATTGTTTCCCACTTTAGTCGTAATTTAGTAATGAAAGAGTAATATAAAGAGACCGGCGACTGTTGCAAAACAGTTTCTTCAATAGTCCCCTATACGTAACAAATACTTGTTGCTTGGTACCTACCTATCTTAGAACTCGGATATTTTTCTCACAAGTAATCTTTTTTATATTAAAAAAAGATTTTATACTTAAATTTAAAGTTAAATTAAGGCATATAATCGGATTAAATCAAAGAAAACATAACCAAAGAATGCATAACCTGAAAATCCAAACATTACAATTAAGGTTAAGCCTCACTGCGATACGTTCCAGGAAAACGGCCGTTGAATATGAGCGTATTAATTTTCATTTATTATCGCAAGATTTCTACAAAAGTGTATGTTTTTTAAATTTTTATTTAAATTATCACAACGAATTTAAAAATTCAATATGTTAAAGTTAACTAAGTATAATGATTTAAGATTATTCTCTTAAAATAAAATGCTGCCGTAATTTTAGGTGTAGGTTTTACTTTATTTCAGTATCAAAATGGCGGCCTACATAAGTACAAGGGTCGGACGTCTCACTTGCGCGATATAGTTCTCTAAATATGTGGTTTTGAATGCTGATGACGACAGCCATTGAGGTTTTGTTTACAGCCTACGGGCTTCTACACACACGACTTCGTTTGCATGTTTCTTCCTTATTTTTTATTATACCACGACGAAATTTGGTTTCACCCCAGTTAAACTCTTCACCAATGATCCATCAAAATTTGGGTATTTTTACATGTCGGGTTTCTGAGATATGAACAATTGAATTTGTTGTTGAGGGTTTTCCGTCATTTTTCACTGTGTGAATCATATTTATGACGTAAAAAGTATAATTGTTGCGTCAATACCTATATTTACAATTTTAGTAATGAAACAATTAAAAAAAATACAAATAGGATAAGAAATGTGTTACCTATTTGCTATTGAATACTTTAAAAGAAAATGTCGTTTTATAAAAAACAAACCTCTACGCGCATTAGAAATTCTACTTTCTTGGTGTAACTAAAAAAAATTGTTCTAAATGTAAATAGGAAAAACAATAAAATGTTTAAATAAAGATATTAAATACAATTAAAATAAAAGGTTAAATTACATTATATTTTGAAAACTTTGTAAATTTGTTCACCACCATTTTTATTAAATTTATCCCATGGTTACAATATTTATTAAACGGTTGTCAAGTTGAGTTGTCAAAATTCGTAGTTAAAAATGCAATTAATTTGGCTTTGGTGGTGCTTAGATGAGTAAAATCATATAAAAAAGTAGTTAAATATAGGTGACTACGGCCCAGGATTTTTACTAGATTTTTCACTAAAAGGTTGGAACTAACAGCAAATAATTTTTATTGTTTGTTTTTTTATTTCCCTTATTTTTTAAAATTTCAAAATTTTTTGATCTGCTTGGCTGGAAATAATGTGTGATTTAATATTTGTAAAACCAAAAAAATTACTTTTTTACTCCAAAAATGTCCATAAGGCGATGTACTTTTTCTGGCATTATTTTTGGCATAGTTTATCTTTTTATATCGATATTATAATAATATTATAATATTATAATGATTAACAAGTAAATTATCAATAATAAATATTACTGTCATTTTCGTTGTCAAAAAGTTTTGTTGAGGTGTAATGTAGGGTGGAATAATATACTATTTTACAAAGAAATGATATTATTTCTATGATATTTAATAAAACTTAAAATGTTTCCCATTTCTTTAGCTTTAGTTAGGCAACCAAGCTTACACAAAGATGTAATCTGTGCAATCTAACAACTAATTCTTTTTATAATTTTACTGCAATACATTAAACAAAAAATTGTTATTTTTCCAAACACTATGTATAACGACAAAGGCGATTATGGAACCAAAAACCTAAAAAATAATCTATCAAATTTGAAATAACCAAGATACGTCATTTATACCTCCGATGAACCGACAAAAATGGAAACCATGCCCAGCAGAACATGGTAAAGTGAGCTATAGCTCACAGCCAACTCCAAACATCCTATGGGGTAAGAATTTTTACTAGTGCAAGTCACATTTTGGATGCAACAAGTGTTTGGTAATAAATTGTTATCAGTAGGTAGTTCTTTTCTTGTTATTCCACAACAACCCAACTAAAAAATAATACTTTCGGTCATAGAGTAAGAAAATGGAATAATTACCTTGTTTTGGTATTCGTTTATTAACATTGTGGAACTAAAATAATTTTCTTCCAAGTCCTTTTCTATTTTCTTTTGAAATTGCTCATCTTGAAACTCGTTATGTATTAAAAATGCCCCTATGATTATTTGTGTAATTGCAAACACCAAAAAAATCATAGAATACTAAAATAAAACAATTAGGGATACTAAAAACTTTTTAGCAACTATTTTTTTTACCAATTCCAAGCAATACGAATTTTTTACAGTTAAGATCCACCAAGATATAATCACCATAATAATCAATAAAACTGCAAAGGTCATTAGAACAATTGATGGCACCAACAATAGTTCATTTGAAATAAATTGTTGTGAAAAAAATAATTGTATTGTGTAGCAGTCCAAAAAAGCAAAAGTAAAAAGTACTATGGCAATTATCTGAAAAAAATTGTATTCTTAATTAAAAAATACTTTTCTGGGGTGTACAGGGGTATATGTATGGGTTAAATTTTGGGCTCAGCCTGTATAAATATTTTACCATTTTTTTTTTTAAATTGGGCGAATTTTTATCGCGGATATCTCAAAAACTATGCGAGATATAAAACAATTATTAGTCAAAAAATATTTTAAATATAAAATGTCACTGTAAAAGTTTAAAAATATTGATTGAGTTGATAAATTTTTAATACAAAAATTCTTACCTTACATTTAAATGTACCTAAGTTTTAAATTTTAAAGTGGTAATTTTTGGATTAAAAATTCATTCATTTAAATGACTCTTTACAAATTTAAACCAATAATTTTGTGGAATAAAATATTAAACCTAAAATTTTTAGAAATCAATACTTTTAAACTTAAACTTCTACAGTTGCATTTTATATTTAAAATATTTTATTTGTGTTTTTATTTTAAATGTCTCGATACTATTTTTAAATACTAAAATTTTTAACTCTACCAATTTAATATAAATAATTTTATATACTTATAAGTATATATACTTATACTTTTAGGTAGAAAATGTTTTATTTGTGTTTTTATTTTAAATGTCTCGAAAGTATTTTTAAATACTAAAATATTTAACTCTACCAATTTAATATAGGTAAATAATTTTATAAAATATTTATTTAAGATTTACAAAATTCTTGGTAAAGTTTAAAATATTTTAAATGTAAACATATTATTTTTAATTAGGAAAATTTGAAACTAATAAAATTTTAAATTAAAAAATTATTTAATAAATGTTAAAATGGCAAAATGACAAAATTTAAAACCTTATTATAATAAAAATACTACCCCAAAATATAAAGAAATCAAAATATTTGTTAAATGCAATGAAATTCTTAAAAAGCTCATTACAACTTCTATATTGAGTTTCGTAAAAATAATAATGATTATTTAGAAGTATTTATAAATATATATATATACATTGATAACGGAAATATCATCAATAATAATAGGTACATTTTATTATTTTAAATATAAGTAGGTAATACAAAATATATGGCATGTTGCTTAAATGTAATCATATCCTATAAACTATATACAAAATTTGTCCACAATTTATAAAAACAATTAAAAGATAACATTGTTTATGCCCACGTTATGGTTTGTTTCCTCCATACTCCACATGACACCCAAAATCCTAAAACGGCTCCAAAAATCTAAAAAAAAAAAACAAAATTGGTATTTTTTTAATATTTAATATTTTTTATCTCCACGCGGTCTATAATTTAAACTTTATTATTGTCAACATTCGATAAAGAAATACCTTGTTATGGCCTAGGCCATTTTATGAGGCAAGTAATTAGTTCGATTTTTTCTCGCTAGGGGTATTGTTTTGACAAATTAATCCTTTTCTAAGAAATTAACGTACTAAACTGGTTTAATTTATTTATAATAAGCACTAATTTGTTTGTTTTACTGTTAATGTTTAATATTTTTCATTAAATTATTGTAAAATTAAATATGAATAATAAAACAAAAAGTGAGGTTAGGCAACCAAGAAAACGCACGATTCTTTTTCTACGATTTAAATTATCTTTAAGTTTTAATTTGCTTTAAGTTTTCAGTGAAATTAAATGATAAACACAGCTTAAACATTCCAAACTACCTATTTTTTAAATAAAAATCCAAACAAATTGAAATTAGATACCTGCCTATTTATTAAACAATTAATTGAATTCAATGTAATTTCTACTTAAATCATGTAGCTAGGTATTGTCAAACTATTACTGCTTCTAAAAGCAATAATAATTATTGTACATTTAATGTAATCTTTAGCTAATAAATAAATGAGATTCTAAAAAAGTGAGGTTAGGCCGCTTTGATGTTGAATTAAATTGACCTTTATAAAGTGCTTTGAAGATAAAATGTTGTATGCCATTCGGCCAAGTCTTGGCCGCCAAGAAGTGCATTTTTGTGCTTCGCTCAAATCTTGAGCTTAGCACAAAAAGCCTTACTTCTTAACCTAATGACATAAATAACTATTACTCACCTCTGACAATCCCACAATAATTGACACCCATCCGAGAATTATGTTGTTGAATCTCGATAAATTAACAATTTCATCCAAACAACCTGTCCTGAAAGCTCTGTAGTCTGTGCAAAATTTGGTCCCTTGTGGACAACACGAGGTGGGCCATTCCTGGCCATGCACCATGAGGGAAAAATCTGCTGGTGAGTCTTTTCCGCAACATTCCATCTAAAAAAATAAATGTCGACATAGATTTTTTGTTTTAAATTATCTATAGCTCAGGTTCCAGATTTTTAACCGCAATTAATTATTTTTTACAATGTTTTAAAAGTCTAAAACCTATCCTCCGTGACTGTTACTCTTTCTAGGTTAACCTATATGTTTTCAAATATCTGAGGTAGTAAAAGCATACTAAAAATTTCAGTTCACTAAGTAAATTAAACACATCCAAAGCAATCGAATCAAATATAAAAATTAAAAGAAATAAGTTTTATAACCATTCATGTAGGTTTTACAAAAATTGATTCTATCCTCCGTGAATCTGTTTTTTCTTTAAATTTTATGCAACGGATGGAGCTTTAATCATTTTAAATAAGCAAAAACCTCTGTTTACGACATTATAGATGCATGTGATTCCTGAAGTTCAGTTAGAATGTATATGCAGATGAGAGTGTTGCTGTTTTATAATTCAAAAGTTTAAGTTCAATAATTTGCCATTTTAAAACCTATCCACCGTGAAGTGTAATATCTCAGTAAGTAGATTTTTTATAAATATTTTACGTATGTAGAATTGTATTTTTTTTAAATATTAAGGTGTCAAAAGATACAATAAATATGATACTTACAAACTCTTGAATTTGATCCAAAGGCCTGGGATCGTCCCTGTACCTGTTCAAAAGCGACTGAAGATCTGTATCCACTCTGTTTACTAATCTCTGTTGATTATTTTGCTCGACTAATAAATATGCTCCTAAAGCTAGCTGTGCTAATCCCAATATTATCAAAAAAACTGAGTACTATAAAATAAAAAAAATAAGGTATTTTTTCTTCTTGATCATATTAATTTATTTACTTACTGTTTCAGTGCAGCATGGGGCTTCCCTGCAAATACCACAACATCCTATTATAACTGTCAGTATCAGTAAAAATCCTAATGCAAGAAATACTATTGCGGGTACTGCTAAAAGTTCTTGTTCTATGGTTTTTTCGTCATGTGCCCAGAATACAATGAACAGTGCATATGCTCCCAGAATAAACATCATCAGTGCAACAATCTGAAAAAATAACAAAAATTAGTGATCAATACGTTGTTGAGCACCATAAAAAATATATTTTCTATTTTTATTAAGCGATTTTATTTAATACTGCTGAATCTTGATATGTATATAGGGTGAGTCATTTTTCTTCTTATACGATTTTGCATTATATTTTCTATAAAAATATCACTTTTTTAATAATAATTATCTTATTAAATTAAATCTGATTTTTTTAAGTAGGTACCCACGATTTTTTATGTAATATTTAAGATTCCTTTGGTTTAAGTTTTATACATTATTTTATTCGGTGATAATTATCAGTTGCGCACCATGGTCACTTTTTACCTGCCGGCATTAAATCCTTTAATTTAAAGGATTATTGTACTATTTTTAATAAAAATACTTCATTTAAGGTAAAAAAATCATTTTGTCAATTAATTAATTTAATCCTAATTGAGGTATAAAAAATGGTATTTAGTTATAAATAATAATTATTATTGAGGTATAAGGAAACTATTTATACATAGTTTAGCATTATTTAATCAATTTAGTTCGAAGATTAATTTGCAAACAAAAATATCTCCTTTCGTTAAGCAGTTATTCATAATGAATTTTTTGACAGTGGAATAAAAAATAGAAATGATTTTGATTTATGGAGAAGCAGACAGGAATCTTAATGATGCTGTTAATATCTACGCTCAGCGTTTTCCGGAAAAAATTCGATCACTTACTTCATTTCACCGCACAGTCAAGCAGTTTACTACAAACGGGAGTGTTCAACCGAAAAAAAGAGTTCGTCGAGCAACAGTCACAGGTGGAAATAATGAAATTAATGTATTAATATAAAAATTTAAAAAATAAATAAATAAATTTAAAAAATAAAACCTTGTATTTTATTAAAAAATTATTGGAGAATAATAAATTCTTCATGTTTTAGTATACTTTTTTTAATTTAGAGTCTATTTTTCGTTCTATTTTGTTGGTAGGAATTTTTTAAATAATATTTGTGTCTGCATTAGATTTTTTATGATGATATATTTTGCAGGTTTTAAAAACTAAACAATCTACGATGTTTCGAGGTCAAAAACACCCTGTACACAAAACCTTACCACATAATAAATAGTCAACAACCCACTAAGGCATTTCAAAAGAATTTCACCGACATTATTTTTTCGTTCCGAGCACATCTTCTACATTTACATAAATCTGAAAGCAAAACAAATCTTATCGTCGATGCCCCACAATCGAACTAATTTTTCGTGTTTTCTGCCGTTTCTTCGTCAGTTTGGCGACGCGACGGCTCGCTTTTCGGGCGTCGGTTCGACTGCTTGCATCGCCGAAGGGACGGATGCGTATGCATGCCAAATTGCGCGAGTCTATTTTTAGGGTTTTAATTAGCTTTGGTTAGTTCGTGATTAAACGAGGTGTATACCTGGATTTTTTAGTGGATTAATTTTAGTTTAATAGGCTTGTTAAATTTAAATACAAAGTTAAGTTTTAATTTTTGCGATTTTTATTAGTGAATTGGTTAAAAATTAAAAAAATAGTATTATTATTAATAGTATAGTTTAATTAAAAGAAATAAAGAAGAAACAATTAAATTTGGAAAAAGTAAGGTTAGAGCTGCCTGACAGATTTTATATTTTATTAAATCGACCATTTTCGAGAATAAAGTTTTATCAGATTATAATTTAACAATTTTTATAGTGGTTTTTAAGTAGTTTTAAATTGTTGTTTTATAATTATTACATTTATATGGCTATTTTTATGTTGCAAAACTTAACTTCACAGTCTAGTAGAATATCAATTATTTTTTCATTATATGGGTGATTCTATAAAACTTGGACAACTTGATGTCAATAAATAGAGTATGTATTTTAATATTTTTTGTAAATATTTTAGTATATTACAAAAGATCCAGATTTTTTAACTTGTACACCCAATTTTAATGTATTTTTTCAAAAACACGTTTGTAGAAAAAAACATAATAAATATTCAAAACATCAGTACTCCTGAATCAAATATTTGAGTGATTTTATTTTAAAATATATTCAATTTATCTTAAATTTTTCAATTTCACTACAAACTATAAAACATTAAATAATGTATTTTTCATAGATTCGAATAAGAGCAATTTAAAAAAATTGATAATCTTTGTACTCAATTTTACCCGTCAGTTCTGTGTCCAATGTTAAAATTCAAAATTCCGAAATATTGAAGTTTAAACGTCAAGTCCTCGATTTAACTCAAGTGTTGGTAAAAAATTGCCTACAGAGTCCGCTCTTTGCACGACAGACATCTTGAAAGCGAAGTTGTGGTGAATGCACGTATAGTTCCAGTCAAAATTGCTGTACTGTGGTGAGTAGTTATATATATTTCATTGTAATTTATATAAGGTATATGTGATTTGTTGATAAGTAGCATCAGTAGAATCTCCCATATTTCAATAGGTATGTATTGTTTATAAATAGTTTTTAAATAGCAGGCTATAATGTATGTTTATAATTTTAATAATGGTTTCTAAACATTGTAAACATAAGTATTATAGTTTGAAATAATAAATAATTTGTATTACTAAATACTTAATTTGTAAAAACGTTGAAACATCATGGAATTCCCGCGACAATTTATTGGCAAAAGAATTGCACCCACATTTAATAACATTAAAATTAACAACCTAAAGTCAAGGCCAATATCGACTTGGCATAATGGATAAAAACATCTAAAATGTAGATTATACTTATTTTATATATACAGTAAGATTTTATATTTAACCATTTCTAATATATTGTCAAGAAAAGAATTGAAATATGTTGTTAAAAATATTTCTAAAATAAATTTTACAATATTGGACAATTGTTTGGGAGTGAAGCATCAGACCACCTAAGATAACCAATAAAATGATTTCCCGCTTGAAAAGTTTTATGAAGTGTATCATTGTGAGGTTAGTACCACATTTCTGGTGAGTAATTATTGAATATTATTTTTCCGAATAGGTAGGTAGGTATTTGCAAAATTCTTCAGGGATAAATCAATAATTATGACCCGGTGATCAAATGAGGATAAAAAGTGTTTCTATGTTCCTACTGTGCTACATTATTGATCAGCTTAATATTTACTTTAATATGTTTAAATGTGAAATAAATTTTTCTCCGTGCAAATAGAGTTAATAAAAGAACAAGGTGCATTGAATGTCATGATGTATAGAGAGTTTGTAAAATGCAATAAAAATTAATTAATCCTTATTAACATTACAAATCGTGTATGTAATAAAACTAAAAATACGTGTTTCTTGGCGCCTTACTTAAACCAATTTTAAATTGAACTCCAATATAACCATCTATTTTTAATACATATCTACATACAAAACTATATTTACTGTTTCACTTACCGAATAAAACACAGACATCAGTCCGTTGATGATTTTGAGAGCGGTCGCACAGCACCCCATTTCACTGAAATTTACTGAAACGAACTATGGTCGAAAATTTCAGCGGCCCGTCAAAATATTTTCTTTCAGTGGTAAAAATAGACGCATGCCGCGAGCCGCAAGCTGGAGCACCACACCACGTTTAGATCTCGCGAACAATTCGACTATTGTTGATTCTCTTTAACTATGTCGTTGATGATGTCATGAAGAATTAAAATGCTCGTTGTATAAACAGTTCGCAGACTGTGCACGAATTAATCTCTTTTTGATAATTTTATGTTGTTTCGTTGAAAGCTTTGTTTATTGTACCGTACAATTGGCGAATTTATAGGGCATTTAATGCACTTTTTTATTATTTTCCCTAATAGCAAAATTTTATTTTAAGAATCTTCTAAGAAGATATGACCCCGAATAATGGAATATTCTTAGAACCTTCCCTTATTGCCAAGAATGTTCTCTTAGGGACTTTTAAAACATTCAGTAGATACCTACCTTTTTAATGATGCAATTAGATTCTTAAAAGCTTCTTAAAACCTTCCTAAAAAGCATCCTAAGATCATTTTAAGAATACGTTTTTGGAATGTTCTTAGAAGGTTTCTTATGGAGCTTCTAGGAAACTTTTGAGAATATTTCCAAATATGTCAGATACCCCTAATATGTTGTATTCTACATTCGTACCATAAGTTGTATGACATTATTTCATAAAAAAGTAAAATTGGAAAATTTTGTGGGATAAGTCAGATTAGATTGAAGTTGAAGATAGTTAAGATTATTATACATAAAAATGTTAATTCAGAAATAAAAAATCGGTATACAAATTAATAAATATTTATTTTTAACATAAAATAAAATACCTATATAGTGAAAGTATTTTTATCTCCACGCGGTCTATAATTTAAACTTTATTGTTGTCAACATTCGATAAAGAAATACCTTGTTATGGCCTAGGCCGATACAAATTTTTATGAGGCAAGTAATTAGTTCGATTTTTTCTCGCTAGGGGTATTGTTTTGACTAATTAATCCTTTTCTAAGAAATTAACGTGCTAAACTGGTTTAATTTATTAATAATAAGCACTAATTTGTTTGTTTTACTGTTAATGTTTAATATTTTTCATTAAATTATTGTAAAATTAAATATGAATAATAAAACAAAAAGGGAGGTTAGGCCACCAAGAAAACGCATGATTCTTTTTCTACGATTTAAATTATCTTTTAAGTTTTAATTTGCTTTAAGTTTTCAGTGAAATTAAATGTTAAACACAGCTTAAACATTCCAAACTACCTATTTTTTGATCGGCACTCTTTGGTGATTTAAATAAGATATTTACCAAATTTCTAACTGTTTTTTGTTTAAATTTGTAAAAAAATCATTTTTTTTAATTATTTGTTTATCGCAAAGTCTACCTTTGCCAGAGTACACATTTGTACACCGATATTGTAAACGAGAACACATACAAAATTTCAATTGTTTATAATAAATGTATGCAAAATTATTTTATTTAAACAAATTAACCTTAATTAAATGATCATTATATAGTCTAAACATTTCTACAATAGTGTGTAAAATTCAATTCAATTATACATAGTGGTTCCAGAGATTCTATTTTTTGAATTTTACCGTGCTCTAAAGTTTGACAAAATTGTCAACCTTAATAACATTACCAAAAAAACGAATTTTAAAACAATTTTTTTACTGTGACATATGAGTCATGCCTACTACACAATAATGTGATTATTTTCAAAATCGGTGATTTCGTGAAATTTTCTGGTCCCACTTGACGTGGTTTGACTCATTAGATACCTACCTATTTATTAAACCATTAATTGAATTCAATGTAATAGCAAAAATCCATTTCTACTTAAATCATGTAGCTAGGTATTGTCAAACTATTACTGCTTCTAAAAGCAATAATAATTATTGTACATTTAATGTAATCTTTAGCTAATAAATAAATGAGATTCTAAAAAGTGAGGTTAGGCCGCTTTGATGTTGAATTAAATTGACCTATATAAAGTGCTTTGAAGATAAAATGTTGTATGCCATTCGGCCAAGAAGTGCCTTTTTGTGCTTCGCTCAACTGTAGGCCTCCGCTACGCGTCGGCCTTCAAACTTTGAGCTTAGCACAAAAATCCTTACTTCTTAACCTAATGACATAAATAACTATTGTTATCGAATATTGTTTTAATTTTACAAATAACGATAAAAAAATATTTTGGATTGTGTTTTTTACTTACTAATTACTAATTAGGTACTTAAGTATAGGTATATATATTTTACTAATATATAGGTAACTGAACTAAATATGCTTAAAATTAATAAAAAATTTATTATAATTATTATTATAATGGGAATCAATAAAAACTCGTCTTAACAATACTGGTTTATAGAAACATTTCTTTCAGTGTAGTAGAGTCTCCTAAAAGACATTAAAAAATTTTAGAAGTATGGACCGTCTGATTTCCGAAAAATGGCACTTCCGGTTTTAATTTTTGGAATCTTAAAACATTGTTTAAAAGAAAAGAACAATTAATTACAAAAAATTTTTGGCTTTGCATTAATTTTTTTTATTCTCTACATATATATTTTTGCAATTAGGCCTTTTAACCCTGACCCACGGCATACTGTGTTTTTAATTAATTGACAGTTCATTTAACTTTCAACTAAAATTAAAGTCAATTAAAGCCATTTAACGCCAACTTTAATTACTCACCTTTTAATGATAAACCTTTTTGTAATATTCTTTATTAAATACACTTAAAAAATAAATGGCATTTCAAAACCTTGTTTTTATATTGTAATTTTAAGATTAGCGTGATATTGATATAAAAAAAACATTTTAAAATTTGCAAAATTTTCTATAAAACCTTATATTCAAAATATTTATC